TTTTGAAAACCACCCGCCCTCCATCTGTGAAGCTGCTCCCATTTTTCAGTTTTAGGGTAATAAATGGTGCGGGAATCTCAGTCGAAACGCCCGGCCCGCCCCAAAACTTGGCTTGGTCTCGGGGTGCGACAGGGAGAAAGGAACACATGGAGGATGAGAAGGACAAATAATGAAGGCGGATAAGGAAAGGCCCCTTGATTGCCATGCGGGCTGGTGTTTCCTCCCAGTGATGCAGGGGTTGTATGGCTAAGGAGTGAGAGGGCTGGACGCGACAAGAACCGCCATGGTACAACGACACGGAGAACAGAGAGAACGTACAGCAAAACCTTCAGAAAAGCATAATCGAAGGGGCAGAGTATGGAATGTGGCAGCAGTGCCTGTCTTCACCGATTGAGGAACCGCGGGCGAGTGGGAGGCGAACAAAGGAAATGTACCTTGCTGGCCTCTGTGCGGAGCGAACAGCGAACCGCAGACTTGCGAGGTGGTGACCGTTGAGCTACAGTGCAGTTGAGGGTCTACGAGGTGGATTCGGCAGCGAGCGAAGGGGGAGAAGTGAAAAGCCCAGAAACCCTCCAGCCTTTGAGAGGTTTCCGTGTCTTCGGGGAAGGCTCAGAAGACTTCTCGGAAGGCCCGCCCCTTTCTCCCCCCCCGTGCTCGCCGCCGGTGGACAGGCCGAGAACGCGAACCGCCGACAGATGGGAATCGAACGCCTCTCGCCCTCCTCGGCCTCCGCTTCTCCCTACCTCCTCGGGTCCTGCTCCCTCCTCCCTCCTCCTCCACCTCCTCCTCCGCCTCCCTCCTCCTCCTCCTCCTCCTCTCCTCCTCCTCCTCCTCCTCCTCCCCTCCTCCTCCTCCTCCTCCTCCTCCTCCTCCTCCTCCTCCTCCTCCTCCTCATCATCATCATCATCATCCGTCTCCTCCTCTCCTTTCTTTTCTCCTCTCTCCCTTTCTCCATCTTCCCTCACTGCCCCGTTTCTTTCTCCTCTCCCTTTCTTTCCCCTCTCCCTTTCTTTCTCCTCTCTCCCGCCTTCCCTCTTCCCTCACTGCCTCCTCCCTCGGTCCGATCGTCCCCCCCCGCCCTCCTTTCCCCATCCTCCCCCGCGCCAGCTTCCAGAGGAACAAGAGCACCGATCTCTGTTGCTCCACGTGGACTGCAGAAGCGCGGGCCGCCAGGTGCCCAGTCATCCGCCGACATGAGTTTCCAGCCCGTGGCCCCAGAGGCCCCGGCTCCTCCCCAGGGGGTGGTCTTCTCGTCCCGGTCCCCTCTGCACCACGGGCCCCGGAGGCCGAGATCCAGGAAGGACTGCTCTCCAGGTGATGAGGCACTCCTCGATGTCTGTTCATGGGAGCATTGGGCGGCGGCGCTGGGATCAGCTTTTCCTGCATTCGGACCGCGTGGGGACCGCATTTGGCCCATCCTCCTGCTCCTCCTCTCCCCTCCTGTTTCCCCTCCCCCTCCACGTTCTCCCAGTCCCCGCGAATCCAGTCCAGATCTGGTCCAAATTTGTTCCAAGTCGGGTCCAAATCAGGCCCAAATTGGACAGCGCCGGGGGCCGCGCAGGGCTTTCTTCTTTTTCTTCTTCTTCTTCTTCTCCTTCTTCTTCTTCTTCTTCTTCATCTTCTTTCTCTTCTTCTTACAGTGCGTCCCCTGCCCCCCCCCTCGTCCGCGCACGTGCCTCGGGTCATATGATGCGCTGAGTCCCCTCTTCCCGGCGCGCCCACTAGGGAAAGCCCGTCACCAGGGGATGTGATCGCCCCAGAGGTGAAGCCCTCCGTTCGTCGCCCCAGAGGCGCCCCATTCGCTCTGGATGGCCACTGGAACTGTCTTCCCCTGCTGGTGGTGTATCATGTATTTCCCCTCTCTTCCGGGAGTAGCTTTTCGCCCTGGGCCCATGCTCGGTGGGGCCCCGTCGTGGGCCCCAGGAGCCGAAGTCGAGGAAGAGTGCCTGGACTGAAGGTATCATATTGTCGGAGACTCGGGAATGTTTCTCGGTATCGTTCGAACGATCCCCATCCCCATCCCCATCCCCATCCCCATCCCCGCGTAACCCCACCAGCTTTTTTCCTGGCCAACGTCTTCGGTGAGTCCATACGCTCCGTAGATAGGCTTTGCAGAGGAGGGACCCTCGCCCTGCGTTGGCCTCTCGTGGTTCCCCTCGCCGCCCCAGCTTTGTGCATGACGTCGCTGGGACCCCCCCCCGACCCTGGTCGGCGGGCTGCAATTTCTTCTCTCTCCGCGGTTACTCTGGGCGCCCTGAGGATGACCTGCTGGCCCCTTCCCTTCGGGGTGCCCCTGGGCTCTCGGCCTGCGACTCGCCCGTGGTCGCCACTTCTGCCCGCCGCCCTCTTGGCGATCCGGAACTCCTCCGTTGAGCGCGTGCATGCCCGCTCGTTGTCCTCGTGATCGTGGACTTCATGAATTCCGTCGTTTTGGAGCTGCACGTCGACGTGTTACTCCGCTAGGCCCCCCGCTTGTGCCGCAGCGTAGCTCGCTCCTGTGCGCGCTCGTGCGGAATGTAGTCCGCTGCTCGTTAGCCGCGTGTCTTGTCGGCGCTTGGCTTTCTCCTGCGCGCTTGCGAACAATAAGTAGCCCCACCAGCCCAGCCAGAAACGATGCCCAGAGGAATTGCCTCGATGAGGGAAGTGGGCAGCACACAGAGGAAGGGCCCCCCAGTGGAGGCCCCTTGGAGCGTCTTGGGGGCCTCTGGGCAATCCCTGACGCCTCTTCGAGAGTCTTTGGGTACCTCGGTGAGTCCCTGGAGGCCTCTTGGGGGTATCTCGGGAGCCTCTTGGAAGCTTCTTGGGCGCCTATTGGGGCATCCTGGGGCCTCCTGGGCACCTTTTGGGGCCCTCCTGAAGCGCTCCTGGGAGCTCTGGGGGCGCCGTCGGAGCCCTCTTGGGCCATCCTGGAGCCATCTTGAGGCCTCGGATGGCCGTCGGAAGCGACAGGACGAGAAAACCAAAAGCGCGGATGTTCCCAAGGTTTTGGAAGGTTGTTGGTCTGTTCGGGGCCTCCTGGGGGAGCTCGCTGGCCACTTGGGGCCGTGTTGGAGTGGTCCTGGGGTTTCTTGGAGCATCGTGGGAGCCATCTTGAGGCATCTTGGGATAACATGAGCCGTCTTGTAGGTCATCTTGGGCTCTCCCAGGCGCTTTCGGAATCATTTTCAGCAGTGCCCCCCCCCCCCCAGGAGACCAACATGTTGCCAAAACCTTGTTAAAATCATCGGGTGCCTCTGAGGGGCCTCTTGGGGCCTCTTGGGGGTCTCTTGGGAGCCTCTTGGGGGCATCCAGTGGGCCTCTTGGGGGCCTCTTGGGGGCCTCCTGGGGCCTCCTGGCAACCTCTTGGGGCCCTCTTGGCGCACCCCTGGGAGCATTGGGTGCGTTCGTGGGGCCATGTCGGAGGAGATCGATCAAACAAGGGTGGGTTCTCAATTAGCGTCGCCCCCCCCAAGAGGCCACAATGGGGCCAAAACCATTTTGTAAAACCAATGAGTTTGGTTTCCTCGCCGAGGCCGTTTTGGCCGCTCCAACGACCCGCGAAACGTCCCGTCCAGGCTCAGGGGAACACATACGTCGCACCCGAGTCTGGCCCGAACCTCAGCATATTCAGCAGTCGTCTTTGGATGGGCAGCTACTGGGGGCCAATCCGCCGCCGCCTCCGCCGCCGCCGCCGCCCCCGCTGCCAAATCGGCGCCGCCGCAGCTGCTGCCGCCGCAGCCGTTGCCGCCACCGCGCGGCCGCCGCCGCAACCGCAGCCGCAGCTGCCGCCGCCGCCGCCGCCGCCACCGCCGCCGCCCCCGCCGCCGCAGCCGCCGCAGCCGCAGCCGCGCAGCCGCCGCCGCCGCCGCCACTGCCGCCGCTCCGCCGCCGCCGCCGCCGCCGCCGCCGCCCGCCACCGCCGCCGCCCCCGCCGCCCGCCCCCGCCGCCGCCGCCGCCGCCCGCAGCCGCCACCGCCGCCGCCGCCGCCATCGCTGCCGCCGCCCCCGCCGCCGCCGCCACCGCCGCCGCCGCCGCAGCCGCCGCAACCGCCGCAACCGCCGCCGCCGCCGTGTAGTTACGTTGTATTGTTTTTTGACAAGGATGGTAGGGGGAGGGTTGGCTGCGCATGCTCCGAATTGGGAGACAGAGTGTTATATATACATATATATATATATATATATATACACACACACACGGTTTTCTACAAGGGATGGAGGTGGGGGGGCCGCATGGTTCTGGGTTGGCTACCAGTTGCCTGGGGGAGGGGGATTTCATTAATAGGGAATGGTGATAAACCCCTCCCCGAATGTGAAGAAGGGGGTGGAAGAGGAAACGCCCTAAACCACCTACGCCCAGAAGGCTGGTGGCAGTACCACCCCTGTTGGGGATACACCTCTCGAAACCCAAAAGGGACGATCTATATCCCCATCTAGGGGGTAAATCGGCCAGTGGGGCCCATGCCACGCCGCTGGGGATGGGGATCGGTTGAACGGTATTCACTGTCCGCCCAGAATCTAAACCTGCCATATGGGTTCCGACAGATGGAGTCGGGAGGTCGCACCGATTCGCTGATGCATCGGCGATGCGGCTCGATGCGGCGATTTTCTCGATATATCGTTGGTGCATCGCCGACGTCGCCGATGCATCGCCAATGCATCGGCGATACATCGGCGATGCCGCGCGATCGTCCGACCCCATTTTCTCTGACCCCATCGAGGAAACCTCTATTGTTGTCGCATGTTGGGTGTCTGCGTGAGTCGGCCACGCGTAGAGGGGGGTGTGGGGAGAGGGGAAGGTTTCTTAAAAAACACCATTGCTTTTTGGAAGGCGCGGGCCTTGTCTACAGATGTAAGGCCGGCGCCGTCCAAGACTCCTTCTTAGAAACCCCTCCCTTCCTCCTACCCCCTTGTGCGTGCCGCCAGGTGAGGGTTCCCCTTCCGTAGGGCTTCCCTTCGGCAGGGGTCGGACGTCATTTGCGAGGCCTCTGCCAAAAGTCCCACGCCCCCCCCCCTGCGAGCAGGCATCTGCGCCCAGCCCGCTCCGGCGCGGCGCCCGCACAGCTCCGCGCGCGCAGCCCTCCGCCGGCGCCTGGGCGCTGCCCGACAGGGTTGCCGGGCCGGGGTCGCCACGCCAGATCGTCGTCGTCGTCGTTTCGTCGTCGTCGTCGTCGTTTCGTCGTCGTCGTCGTCGTCGCCGTCGCCGTCGCCGTCGCCGTCGCCGTCGCCGTCGCCGTCGCCGTCGCCGTCGTTCGGGTCGGACGAAAGCGTGGTGGGGGGATCAGAAGGGGGAGGTTCGGGGTTCGGGCCTTCCGGCGTCGGGGTTGCAGGTTTTCGGGTGTTTCCGTTGATTTCGCGCGGTTCTCCAGCCTTGAATGCTCTCCAGTTTCTGCGCCTCGCCGAGAGTTCCGGGGGTAACCCAATCGTACGGAACGGCCGCTGGAGACCCGAGCTATGACAGGAATGTCAGACGACGAGGACCACTCGGGCTGGACGAAAGGGGTGGACTGGGAAAGGGGGGATTTTGAAAGCTGCTGCGTGCGGGTCGTTGCGGCCTTGCCATTAGGTGTTTTCCCCGATTCGTTTGGCGCCTCCAAGCGCTTACAGGCGCTTGGAGGCGCCGAGAAAACTAGTTTCATGCAGCTGGTTCGCTAACCCCCCCGCTTTTGCTGTCCCACCCTTCCGTCCGACCCGAATCGTCGTTTTCGTTTGAGTGCTGCCACAGGTGACCCTGGCCCAAAGTGACCCCAGCTACTCTGGGGAGGCCCTGATGGCTTTCAGAGCACCCCAGGGATTCGAAACGATTCGAAAAGCTGGGAGTACCTAGGGCCTAGGGCAAGGATCATATCTGGTGGCAACGTCGTCGTCGTCGTCGTCGTCGTCGTCGTCGTCGTCGTCGTCGTCGTCGTCGTCGTCATTATCTTCAGTGTCGGCGTTGGCGCACTTAGCGTCGTCGTCTGCAGGGGCGTCGGAGTCGTCGCCGTGTCCAGCAGCGTCGGCTTCCTCCTTGTGTCCTGCCTCCCTCCCCTGCACTCGATGTGGCTCAGCTCGCGCGCACATCAAGCCGAGTCTTGATGTGTCGACTGTTCTCGCTTTGACTCGGGCTCGTGAACACTCGCGCGTCTTTGCTATCGCTCCCCCTTCATCGGCGGTCCGCTGCTGCTCTGGCGAGATGCTGCTCGGCGCACCCTCGCTGCCTCGTCGCTGTTTATTGACCGAGGGCCTCGAATGAAGTACGCTCCCATACTTACCTTGTTGTAGAAGCCTTACGGCCGGTGCCGCCGACCCAAAAGGACGACAGCAACGACCACGACGACCACGACGAAAACAGCAACGACGAGCTCAGATCCCTGCCACAGACTCGGGACATGCGGCGGGCGGTGGAGGCAGGAGGAGGAGGAGGCGGATGTGGAGGAGGAGGAGGGGGACGAGGCGGAGGAGGAGGAGGAGGAGGACCATACTACTCTTCATCACCATCATCATGATCATTACTAACATCATCATCATCACCATACTCATCAGCGTCATCATTATCATCACAACTATCCTCATCGTCATCCTCACATCCATCCTCATCATTATTAGTCATCCTCATCATGATCCTCATCATCATCATCATCATCATCATCATCATCATCATCATCATCATCGTAGCATCACCATCATCAACATCATCATCTCCATCATCCTACTCATCGGCATCATCATCATGGGCATCCTCACCTCCATCCTCATCCTCATCCTCATCCTCGTCCGCATCCGCATCCGCATCCTCATCACCAACATCATGGTCATCATCATCAGCAGCATCGCCCACACCATCGTCATCAACATACTCATCACCATTATCAGTATCATCATCAGCATCATCATCATCAGCATCACCAGCAGCATCAGCATCATCAGCATCACCATCATCATCAGAAGCATCATCATCATTTGCATCAATATCGTCATCATCATCACCATCATCATCGTTATCATCCTCATCCTCACCTTCATCAGACGACCCAATGGCCGCGTTCGCATGGCAACAGCCAAACATTTTTTGGCACTCCCCTCCCACGTTTCGTGGCCCCATAAGGAGCTTCACCGAAGGCCCCAAAGGCAGCGCCCGCAGGTGCCCGCCGCGCTCACTTCCGCACACCCTCACACGTTCTGTGGCCCCTTAGGGAGCCCCACCGAAGGCCCAAAAGGCGGCGCCCGCATGCGCCCGCCGAACCAATGTCGGCACACCCTTCACACGTTTCGTGGCCCCCACAGGGAGGGTCCAAAAGGCAACGTTCGCATGTGCCCACCGCACCAATTTCGACACACTCTTTTCTCGTGTCGTGGCCCCCATAGGGAGCCGCACCGAAGGCCCTAGAGAGCTCATCCGAAGGCACCAGTGGCAGCGCACGCGTGCTGCCGCTACCTTATTTAGGCACACTCTCACACGTTTCGTGGCCCCCATAAGGAGCTCCACCGAAGATTATATCCACGGCCGCAGTATTTACAGCCACAGATTGTTGGACCCTTCGCCAGGCTAGTTCTCTTCTCCTGTAAGAGGAGGGCGGATAGAGACAACCGCAGCGCAAAGCGGTCCATTTGACCGCTCCAAGGGGTTAGCACCAGCTTTTCGAGCTGCATCCAGCCGTGGCGACAAGACCCCCCCCAAGGCCAGCTACCGTCGTCTCAATCGACATGCCTCTGACCTCCTCCTACTCCTCCTTGTCCTCCTCCTCCTCCTCCTCCTCCTCCTCCTTTCCTCCTCCTCCTTTCCTCCTTTGTCGCCGCCGGCTTCGGAGCTCGGATCGACCACAGCCCTCCTCCCCCCCTCCCTCCTCCCTCCTCCCTCCTCCCCCTCCGCCCTCCTCCCTCTTCCCTCTTCTCTCCTCCCTCCTCCCCCTGCTCCCTCCTCCCCCCTCCTCCCTCTTCCCTCCTCCCTGGGCAGGGCCCCGGCGACGGCGCCCCGCCGGCGCACGGACGCCCGGAGGCGGCCGCCCTGGCGCTGGGTGGCCTGCTGGGCTCCGCGGCCGCCGCCAGGCGGCACCTCAGGAGGCGGCGCGCCCTCCCCCGCAGGGGGAGGGGGCGTCGAGGACGGAACAACCACACAAACACAAACTTGTGGCGCTCCACGCGGGTTTCTCGGGTCCGCGCTGGGCCCCCCTGGCGGCGCCTCCGGCGCCGTCCCTGGCGCGCTCCGCGCGCCGGGGAGGGGGGTGCGGCGCAGATCCAAGAGATCCGCGCGGGGCGCCAAACGTTTATGTTTGTTAGAGCCGTTCTTTTCTTGCAGGGAGGGGCCCGCGGAGGGCCGACGTGGGCACGATGCGGACTCGTGGTCGGACGCTATCGCCGATCTCTCGGCGCCGTATCGCCGAGTCAAGCTCGACCTTCCCCCCCTGAGACAGTCCCCCACACAGCGTTGCACCGCAGGGCCTTCGAGGTAGGAGGCTGTCAGGCCTTTTTCTGCCTTTGTTGGTCCTCCAGGAAGCTTTTTGTTCGCCGCGGGTGGATTCCCCCGCGAAATTCAAGTCAGAACGCACCCATGACCTGACGAGTCCATGGGACGGGTAAGGAGGGATGAGATGGGGGAGGATATGGGGGAGGAGATGTGGGAGGAGGAGGAGGAGAAAAAGGAGGAGGAGGATAACGAGGAGGATAACGCTGCTGCTACTGCTGCTGCTGATGATGAGGGGTTGAACACATCTCTCCCTCCCGTTGCCCGCCCACCTCCGCCTCTTCCTTCCATGCCCTCTCTCTCTCTCTCCGCTTTCTCTTCCTCTCTATCTCTCTCTCTCTCTTTCCCTTTTTTGTTTTCTCTCTCTGTCTTTGGTCGTTCTGTCTGTCTGCCTGTCTGCGTGTCTGTCTGTCTGTCTGTCTGTCTGTCTGTCTGTCTGTCAGTCAGTCTGTCTGTCTCTGTGTCTGTCTGCCTGTCTGCCTGTCTGCCTGCCTGCCTGCCTGCCTGCCTGCCTGCCTGTCTGTCTGTCTGTCTGTCTGTCTGTCTGTCTGTCTGTCTGTCTGTCTGTCTGTATGTCTCTCTCTCTCTCTTTGTCTCTCTTCCTCCTCTCCCTAGGAAGAACACTTGTCAGCGATTCGCAAACTCTCGGAGTCCGCGGTGATCTCTTGGGTCTGCGTTTGGCCCGCCTGCCTGGCAGGGTAGGCGGGCCGCCAGGGGGCGGGGGGTGCAGCGCCGATCCAAGAGCTTCTCATGGACGCCCAAACATGTAACTATGTCTTGCTGCTCGCGAAGTGAACGCGGGGGCTTAGCAAGAAGAGACCAGGCAAGCGGCGCAGACCACGAGGAAAGCGCAGGAGGTCTCGTCGGGGGCCGCGGCGGACGGCAAGAAGACGGTCATCATCACAGGAGGGGCCTGGGACGAGCGGAGACGGCTTCCCTTTCCTTCCCCCGTCGCCCCCTCCCCGTCCCCCTCACCTCACCAGGGGATGTCTGCGCCGAGTATTGCTCCTTCTTCTGCGCGCGCGCTCCCGCGGGCCGTTTTTGAGGATCAGTCTTCATCTCGAATACTTCCCAACCGTCCTGTAGTGTTGTCTCCTCGCCACGCCGGGCGCGGGCGGGAGCGCCGCGACGGGACCGCGGGCCCCTGGGGAACGGCACCCGACTCCCCCCTGCCTCCCCGTCCCCCTCCCCCCCTCTACTTTCCCCCTCCTCCTCGCCCTCCCGCCTCTCCTCCTCGCCCTCCTCCTCTGGGCGGCGCGCGCGCGCGGAAGGAAGGGCGCCGCCGCCCGCGAGGAGCGTGGCCGAGTTCCCGCCGGACTCGGCCACGCGGGGCGCGGACGGGGGCGCTGCGACGGGACCGCAGCCTCCTCCTCCATCTTCCCCTCCTTCCCCCCGGAGCCGCGGGCCCCACAGGAAGGTCGCCATCCCCCCCCCCTCCTTTTCTCCTCGAGGGGTGGCCCGGGGTGGGAGATGGTGCGCTGGGGAGAAGGCGCCTCCCCGTGCGGCGTTGCCCTGCACCCGGTCCCCGAAGCGCTGGGCGAGAGGACCGTTGTCGTCGCTGTCGCCATCGCCGTCCCCGCCGCCGTCGTCGTCGTCGTCGTCGTCTTCGTCGCCGCCGCCGCCGCCGCCGTCGTCGCTCTTGTTGGCGTCGGCTTCGTCGTCGTCGCCGTCGCCGTCGTCGCCGTCGTCGTCGCCGTCGCTGCCGTGGCTTACCTCTCACCTCCCTCCTCCCCTCCGCCCTCTCTCCCCCCGTCCGCCGCGGGCCCTCTTGCCCCGCCGTCTTGCCCCTGTGTTCCCCGCCCCCGCCGCCCCCGCCGCGCCTCGTCGCCGGCGCCGTGGCCTGGGCTCCCCCGGGTTGCCGCCGCCGGGAGAGGCTGGGGGGCGATCCTGGCGCGTGCGCCCCGCGCGGCCGCCCGTCGCTCCCTGATGGGGCGCCGGCACTTCCAGACCGCGCGTGGCACCCCGCGCCAGGTAGCCCCCAGCCGCCCCCGTCGGCGCCTCGCTGGGCTCGGGCGGGGGCGGGGACGGCGGCATGGCCCCCTCATTGTTTGGCGGGAGGTGCAAGGCATGACCGGCGGGGCCACGCGGGCGCCGGGGATGTGGGCGGTAACCCAGGTGTGGCGCTCCACGCTTCCATGGCGAAGCGGTGGGCGCATCGCGGGGGTCACGGCGGACCCCGGCGGCGCGTGGTCTGGCCGAACTCGAACACGCGGGGCGCGGACGGGAGCGCTGACGGGGCCGCGGGCCCTTGAGGAGGGTCGTTCTCCTCCCCCCCTTTTTTTTTTCTTCTCGTGGGTGGCTCGGGGGAGGGCCGCTGGGGGGCCGGCGCGCTGGGGGGAGGACGCCACCGCCCGCGCGGCGCGTGGCCGAGTTTCGACCGAACTCGGCCACGCGGGGCGCGCAAGGGTGCGTTGAGACGGAGCCGCGGAGGGAGGTCGCCCCCCCCCCCCCCCCCCCTCTCGTCCCCCGTTTTCTTCTCGTCCCCCCCTCTCGTCCCCCCCTCTCGTCCCCCGCTCTCCCCCGCGTGGGGGTTCGGGGTGGGGGATGGTGCACTGGGAAGGGGGCGCCCCCCCTAGCGGCCAGGCATGCCCGCGGCTGGGGCGTTGCGGGGGGGCCGGACGCGCCCATCCCACATCCCGTGGCAGACGGGGGCGCCGCTCTCCCCCGTGAAAGGCCTTGGGGCAGCGGCGCCCCCAGCTCCCCAACCCGAAGGCCCAGGGGGCGGATGCTTTCCCGCGCCGGGGAGTCGCCCGGCCCTTCGGGGACCCACCGGGGGCCGTCCGGAATAACATCGCCCGCGAAACATAGTCCCCTCCCTCCTGCGCTCCTCCTCCCCCCCTTCCTCCTCCCGGCTCCCATCCCTGCCCTTGCCGGCATTTGCCCTCCTCGTGTCCAGTCCGGCCCACCCCTCACACGTTTCGTGGCCCCATAGCGAGCTCCACACAAGGCTCCAGTGTCACCAGTTCGCGTGTGGGCGTCGCACCTCCTTCGGCACACCCGTCACACGTTTCGTGGCCCCACGGGGAGCTCCATCGAAGGTCCCAAGGACACCGCTCGCATTTGGCTGTCACACCCGTGTCGGCGCACCATTCACACGTTTCGTGGCCCTCATTGGAGCTCCACCGAAAGTCCCAAGGGCACCGTGGGGGCGGGACGCCCGTGTCGGCACACCCATCACACGTTTCGTGACTTCACAGGCTCATAGGGAGCTCCACCGACGGCCCCACGGGCACCGCTCATTCTCTTCACACGTTTCGTGGCTCCACAGGGAGCAGCTCCGCCGAAGGCCCCACCGGCAGGGGCCGCATGCGTCCCCGCGTCCCTTGCAGCACACACGCAATACTCGCCTCGTGACCCCAAAGGGAGCTCCACCGAAAGCAGTGTCCACAACGCGGTATTGACAACTGCCGATGGCCGGGTCCTTCGCCGGTACATTTTTTGTTGACGGTCACTTGGCCAGTGGAGGGCCCCAAAGCTCCGAACAGGGTGGAAGATCTTCAGGACCCCCTCTTTCTAGGATCCCGTCATCGCCATGCTCGTATGAGGAGGAAACGGCCACGCCATCGAAGTTCGCAGCATGTCGCTGGCAGCGCAGTGGCATCTGTTATGTGCAGCTTCCAATGTGTTCAGCCATCGAAGTTCTGAGCATTTGTCGTGTGCAGCATCTCGCCGGCAGCGCAATGGCCTGTCCCTCTTCTGTTGGCCGGGGGTTTTGGCGGAGCAGGCGCGTCTTCTGGTCTCGGCCTGGCCACCACCATCAGCCTGGCCAAGGGTGGGGACTGGCACGTCATCATGGCCGTCAAGGACTTCGCTAAGGGCGAGACCGTGGCAAAGGCGGGGGGGGGCATGGGGACGGGCAGGGGGCCAGACTTCAGAGGAACAAGAGCTCATGATAATGATGCGTTTCAAGATCTTCAGTGTTTTCAAGATGTCAGAATGTTCCACATGGGCTGCAGAAGCGAGGGCCCCTAGATGTTCTGGAACTCCTGAAGCGCATCCTGAGCCAATCCAATCATGACATCAGTCTCGTCCTGAGGATGTCAGAGGAGGAAGAGATACCGAGCCCGCTGACCGTCCCTCGTCGCCACGGCTGTACAGCTGCCCCGGTCGAGGGGCGCCCCTGGAGAGGCCCGGGTCGGTATCGATACCGTCCTGTCCCCCCCGAGGGGAAAGCAGTTGGTAAAAGAGGGCTGAGCGAGTCGGGATTGGGGGGATGATCTTAGGGAGCAGAGAAGATGCTGCGCTCGCGCCGCACCTGACACCCTGTCCCGCCCTCTCATCCCTTCCCTTTTCGCTGATTATTCTCTATCTGCGGACAGGTGTCATAGCCGACCTGGAACTCCATTACGCCAGCAAATCACCTGTCTTTCAGCAAAGGTGACATGTGGGACCTGTGGGACATGTCGGAACTGTGGTACATGTGTGATGTGCGGGACCTGTGGAACCTGTGGGATTTCTATGGCCTGTAGGACTTGTGGGACCTGTCGGCCCTGCGGGTCAGGTGAGCCTGTGAACCTTTGGGACCTGAGCGACCTGCAAGACCTGCGGGACCTGTGCCCCCTGAGGGACCTGCTTGGCCAGGGGGGCCTGTGAGACCTGCGACACCTGTGGGACCCGTGGGGCCTGTCTGGACCTGTAGGAGCTGTTGAACCTGCGAGACCTGTGAGACCTGCGAGACCGGCGGGACCTATGGGACTCGCGGGACGTGTGGGACTTGTGGGACTTTGGGGACCTCTGCGCGACCAACGAAACCCGCGACACCCGTAGGACCTGTGGGACCTGTGGGATCTGAAAGACGTGCAAGATCGGTGGGATTTGTGGAGCCTGTCAGAAGTGTGGTTCCTGTGGGACCTGTGGCACTTGCGGGACGTCCTGCGACACCTGTGGGTGCTGTGAGACCTGTGAGACCTGTGGGACCCGCGAGACCTGTGTGATCCAGGAAAGTAAATGAGGCCCACGCTGCAGCGGGAGCACCGTTTTGAAACACCGAAAATGGATCTAAACAGTGCATAAGACACATCAAATCACGGAGTCCTTTGTGTTAGAAGCAGTGCGCGGAGAGACACGGTCGTCTTCCTGACTACTGCAAGGGAGAGATGCCAGTAGTATTCACATACCCCAACTAGTGTTTGTACTTAGGGTTTCTTACTAGTATGTTTAAGGTCGCAGGCGATTTCTCTCCCCCAATCCCCGACTTCCGCCAGAAAAGTTTGGTCGCTCAGAAAAGGGGAGGAATCTTGGGATACATCCCGAGGGGGCTATTCGGACGCACCCCTGTCGAGGATGGACGCCCCCCCCTCGTATATCCCAGGGTTGGGCCCCAAATTGTTGATCCTCTCGACAACCTCACGGAGCCTGGGATAGGGGTCGACGCATCCCCTGTTATAAGGAACTCGCCCTGATGGTCGGTCTGGCGGCCATGCTGCCGCCGTCGCCGCTCCCTCGCCGCCTCGTCGCCGCCCGTCGGACTGTGGCTGTCCGTTGGTCTGGTGGCTATTTCGTCGCCGTCGCCGCCCCGTCGTCGCCTCGTCACCGCCCTTCAATCGTCGCCGTCGCCGCCTCGCCGCGGCCTCGCAGAATTTTACCACATACACCTTAGGCGATGCTTAAGAAAACCTAAGTTTTCGGCCAGAGTCTCGACTATTCTTAACTTTTCCATGTAAATCCTAAGATATGAATGGAAAGTTTGGGTTTTACTCAAGTTCTGAGACTACGAATTTCTTAACCCATGATTTCTTAAGCATTTCGCAGGGTGTATATTGCACCACATGGAATGCGCCACATATATTATCCTCGCTGGAAACAGATTCGACTCTACCCCCATCACCCCCCCGAGGTTATCCGCCACGCGCTTCGATTGGAAATTCATATGAGCGTGACCCTTCGTTCATTTCCCCATGAATTCATACCATCCCAGGCCAGCCGGTATCGAACCCCCCCCACCATTCTCTGCAACAAATACTATGCGCGCACCCGCTTATCTCGAATCATAAGTTTTCAAGAACCCCTTGCAAAACATGTCACGAAGTGCACGCGTGCGTCGTCCCGCGCGCATACCGAAATCCTTAACAACATCCTCTGGTTTCGGAAGGATATCAAAATCGAGTGTCCCAAACACTTTTTTATGAAGGGTTTCGCAACACGGATGTTCAAGAAAAGCGTGCGCGCGCTCTTGCGAATCTTTGAAAAACCATAAGCTGTTCAACATGTCCAGGACATGCTGCCAAACGGGCTTCGCGCGCGCATGTCGAAGTCGTACGAACGCCCCTGCGCGCGTGCTGTCGCGAAAATCATTTGTGCAAAACATGGACGAAGTGCACACGCGCGCGTCGTCGCGCGCGCATGCCGAAATCCTTCGATGTCGGAAGGATTTCGAAATCGAGTGCCCAAGCAACATAAAAACAACACAGAGTTTCGCAACGCAGATGGTCAACAAAAGCGTGCGCGCTTTTGCGAATCCTTAAGAAAACCATAAGTTGTCCAACATTCCGTAACATGTTACCGAACGGGCTTCGCGCATGCGCATGCCCAAATCGTGCGAACGCCCTGGCGCGCGTGCTGGGGTGGCACGATCCGTGTTTAATACAACCATGCGATCCATTCTGGCGCGTCTGTCGCGCGCGCATTTCGAATTCCTCTCAAAACTTCTGAATCACCGACGCGAAGACGCCGTCATCGTCGCCAGCGTGAGCAGCATCGGCGCCGTCACTGGCTGCCCTGCCGTCGCTGTCAGCATCGTCGCTGGCACCGCCACTTTAATCATCATGGCTACCGTCGTCGACGTTGCCATGATACCGCGCCCGCCCAAGTCGCCGACTCGCACTGAGGTGCCCGCTATGATGTGCCGAGCGGTCAGCGCCACCGCGTCCGCGTCGGTCGCGCCAAACTAGCTGGCCGCTGCGCGGCGAGCATGCGCGGACTAGCGCGGCCGCAGATATGCACCAGCCAACACCAAGCACTCATCGCAATCGCTTCCGCATGGGGTTTGCAAACCAAGTTGCGGGTGGGTGGATGGAATGTTTGCGCGAGCAGTGGGGTGGACAATTTCAAGTTGAGCGCTGGTGAGTTGCACCACGTAGATTGCACCACATGGATGGCACCTTTGCAGGCTGCACGACAGATCGGAACACAAATATTGCACTTGTGCAAGCTGCACAGATTGTACCACATATGCTTTCCTTTTTCTTCAAGGGTTTTAGGTTATACCCCCCCGGAGTTCTCGGTACCCCCAAAGGGGGGTTTGTAATTTGCAGATGATTCGGCCCCATCGGTCATTCAAAATATGAGCTCACATCATCCCAGCCAGGCCGCCGGTTCCTCCCCTTTTTTTCATCCGCTGGGCAGGAGCACTGTGCGCCAATTCGCTCGCACTATCACAGCAGACCGTACCAAAACATCAGGTTGGCGCAACACACCGCATCATGACAAACACGTAACAATGGTACTTACATTGCAATGCACATACGTCTCTTCAGTTGCCAACCGCTTTCAAGTTATGAGTACACGTGCGCAATGAAGTTGTCATTTGCTTTCTGACTATCGGTTGATCTGTCATCACTATGCGGTACGATCGAAGACCACACATTTGCATTCCATTTGTGTTTCACTGGGCCCAATCTCCAGGTGTGGAGATCATCGGGCATTTGTGGGGCCCTGCCAAGATTGTCAGGCAGAAGTCAGTGAGAACCTCACACTTTGGAAGTGATTTGTTTCTCTGTGAACTGTACTGTCTGCGTTTTCTCTTGGGCTCTCTTGGGGCACTTCTTCGGGCCGTCAAGCGTGCGTCTTGGGGTGTATGGGGGACCTCCCGTGCTCTCTTGACGGTCCCCTGGACAACTCTGGTTGCTTCCTGTGGTCCGCCTTGGGCAATTTCGGGGCAGTGGTCGGACCCTTCGGGACCCCCGCTGGCAGGGAAGAGGGACCCAAGGGAAGGGGTCTGCATGTGCTTCGGCTTCGAGAGGTCTGCGATTGAGAAGGGGGCCCCGGGTGTCCGATGTGAAGGAGGGAAGGGGCTTCGGAGGAAAATTAGCCTCGCTCGCGCCGACTGGGTCGGCTGGACTTACAGGGGTGGCAGGCACATCTGGCCTGACAGGTGCGACACGGAGGCTCATTTGGGGCATCGTGGGGACTCCTGGGGCCTCCCTGCGGTTTCATCTGGGGCCTTTGGGCACGGCTTTGCGGTCTCGTGGGCGGCATGGCCGACGCCCACGGGCTGATTACAGCGACGGGGCCAGGGATCGGCCTTGCCGGGGCCTCGGCGTCGGTGGGGCAGCCGTGGGCCTCTCCCGCCCGTGCGACGCGGAGGCGCGGTGCTGCGTGTCGGGCGCCAGCGGGCGGTCGGCTGGGCGAGCCGCTGGATTTTTGGGGCAGGAGAGGCGAGAACGGCGCAGACCATCGGACCCTGATGGGTTTGTAAACCACCACCACCACCAGAAGTTGGAGTGGGAGAGGGTCCTTCTACTCTTCCTCCTCCTCCTCCTCCTCCTCCTCCTCCTCCTCCTCCTCCTCTACGTCCTCCTCCTCGTCCTCCCCCTCCTTCCCCCCTCCAACTTCTGGTGGTGGTGGTGGAAAACTGGCCCATCAGACCCTGCTCGTTCACAGTGCATGGCTGGTAGAACCAAAACGCTGTTCTCTGAGCAACGCAGGGATCGTTTCGATTCCTCCGATTCGATTCGATTCGACTTCGATGATCCTCCGATTGCGATTCGATTCGACTTCGGATTCCGATGTGGGTTCCGATGTCTCATTGGATGCATACCAGCCTGCCAATTTCCGCCGATTCGCCTTCTCCCGACTCGGCTGCCGATTTCGGCCGATCCGCTTTATTTCGATCGCCGATCCGACTTGTCGGTTCGATGTTGGGCTTGCTTGGCAACGTGTACTGGGGGTTCGACTGTGCCTACCTCCACCCTCGCCCCATCGGTTCCTTGTCCCCGCGGCATCCTCTCTCGTCCAGATCCGTCCCCTGCCACCTCATCCAACTCCTTTCTTCCCCATCTCTCGTTTAGACTCTTGCATCTGTCTTCGTTTTTGCCTCTCCCTGTCATCCCCACCGCCCGAATCACAGATCATTCCCAAATCCCCTGTCTTTATTGTCGTGTTGGTCAGCTCCCCAGATGACGATCCTATGTCCTCGGAACGGCTGCGACGGATCACAGGGGAGGAAGCTGGGCTGTCCGATGATAGCTACACCGTGATGCATTGCGACCTCGCGTCGAACAATAGTCGGGGGGGTGGGTGCGTCTCCTCTTGCAGTGTCTCAGTTGAGCGAGTGAACTCCCAAATAGTTCTTGCACTCAGTGAGCTCTTGGGCTTCCAAGGGGATGGCCGGATGATCGGGTGTGCCCGCCCGAGAGGACGGCGACTGCGGCAACACAGCCGCCAGAACGACCGTCAGGCCCAGACGACGGGCGGCAATGTGGCGGCGACGGGGCGGCGACGGCGGTCACATAGCACATAACCGACCGTCAGGACCCAAACGACGAGCGGCGACGAGGCGGCGATGGGGAGGCGACGGCGGCAACATAGCTGCCAGACAGAGTCAGGCCCAGACGACGGGCGGCGATGAGGCGGCGACGGGGCGGCGACGGCGGCAACATAGCTGCCAGATCGATGGACAGGCCCAGACGACGGGCGTCGACGAGGCGGCGACGGGGCGGCGACGGCGGCAACACAGCCGCGAGAGCGACCGTCAGGCCCAGTTCCGTAGCAACAGGTAAGAGCCCCGAAGTTCCAACACCGAGTGGGGAATCTCCGTGTGGCTAGCGTGGACCCCAAGCAGCGATGATTTGCAACCTAAGAAGTGCGGTCTAAGTGGTGCAATCAATGTGGTGCACTTTGGGTGATGCAGCCCATGTGGAGCAATCTATGTGCCGCACATCAGTGCGACGCGAAAACACTGCCAAACCATGCAGCGCACTGCAACGCAACGCAACGCAATGTAACCAAGGCATACCAATGCAGAGCAGTTCTGATCAATGCGGATCAGTGTGCATCAATGCATTGCACTATAAAGCAGTGCAGCGCAATGCAACGCAATGCAACGTAGTTCAACACAACGCAGCGAAACGACATGCACAGCAGTGCAAGCCGACGCGACGCAGTGCTAAACATTGTACAGCAATGCAAAGCCATGCACCGCAATGCAACGTAATGCAACACAAATCAAAGCCGTGCAACGCAATGCGACGCAACGACAGTAACGCAATACGATGCGACACGATGCGAAGCAATGCAACTCAACGCAACCCCATACAGAGGAACGCATAGCAACGCAAAGCAACGAACAACAATGCAGCGTAATGCACAGCAGTGCAAACCAGTACAGCGCAACGCACAAGAAATGTTGGAAGCCAAGGCGAAGCAAGTCCATGCAACACCAAGCAATGCGATGCAATGCGATTGCAGTGCGTCGTGGGGGGGTGCAACGGGGCGGCGGCGGCGGACGAGAGCGGGCCCGGCGGGCCCGCAGACGGGCCCAGTTCCTTAGAAGAGAAGCGACAACCTCCAAGTGCAAGCACGGTTTGGGGAACAAACGCCACCAGTCATACACCCTGCGAAATGCTTTAGAAATCATGGGTTAAGAAATTCATAGTCTCAGAACTTGAATTAAAACCCAACATTTCTATGACAATCTTAGGACCTAAATTGAAATATTAAGAATAATCGAGACTCTGGTCGAAAACTTAGGTTTCCTTAAGCATCGACTAAGGTGTACTCAGCACTGACAGGGGTCCGCGCACAGGGTGGTCCTCGCTCTGAGCTCCACGCGCGGTGCCACGTTCCACTCGGACGGGCTTCCCTAACCTGTGGTTCCACGCGCAGGGAACCGCACCTGCATTTTCTCTCACGCACACAGATACGTACTCTTCTACGCGCGCATATACAGTTTCACACGGGGTCGAGGATGAGGAGGCCGAGGAGGATACTAGTCGGAGGACGTGGGCGAGGAGGATGAAGTCGGAATGGAGAAGCGGAGGGAGCCATGTGCGAGGACACGGGGCCAGAAAGTACAGGGGTAGTTGGAGGAGGACGCGGAAGTCCCTGCCCACAGAGACAGCAGCGGTCCCATCGACAAGACCAGGTCGGAAAATCTGGCACGGTCGACATTGCCTGAAGGGTTGGAATTTGAGCGTTCTTCCCGGAGCGGCTCCTCTGTGCTCAATTGGCTTCGTTGTGGCCCAGCGTTTGCTAGGACTGGCTCGCGCGTTCGCCGAGCTCGCGATTCAAATCTTCCCCGAAACCAGCCCTTTTTTGAAAGCCACGCCCAGCCAGCCGATGTCCGAAGTGAGTCCGTGTGGTGCCCTTCCCCCCCGCTCCTCGCAATCCACCCTCTTTCCATGCTTCAGTGTGCAGCGCCAGAGGGTAAACAGAACACGGCCGCACATCGGCTTCTACGCACGGCAGGGGCGTAGCATGCAAAGCAACCATTTCGCTGGAAACACTGTGGATGTGTGGGCAATGCACGCTGTGCTTACGTCGCGGTGGCGGATACTACGCCCCATAAATTGCGCCCCGTGTGTTGCGCCACACATTGCTTCCCGTAGGTGGGGCCCTTTTTGATTGCACTGCGTATGTTTCACGTATCCACTGTTTGAGGTTCACGCGGCGTGGCAGCGGCAGCAATGATAACATTACTTCGAGTGCTGGTGGTGGGGCTCACAGTAGTACCGTTGGTTGTAGCACTCGTAGTTACGGTGTGTACCAGTGCTGGTCGCAGAAGCTGCATGAGCAGTCTTAGCGGTCCAGTGGCCGTGGTAATGGGCGCATCTCCAGTAGTGCTGGTACAACCCGTCATGGCAGCTGGAGTGTTGCTCCCCTATCTCCTTGCCCCACCTCCTCCCTGCTCCTGCGTCCTCCCTGGGCTCGGCACGCCTGCTGCTTCCCTGGCTGCTTTCCCCCTTGCCGCACGCCCCACGTCTCTCCGCTCGGCGAATCGCAGATCGACTCCCTTGCTGCTTCTCTTCTTTTTGGTTTGCGGCGGGGGGGGGGGACGGGGCCGTCCCGCGTCGGAGCCATGCTTGCTTCGGGGAGCCCAGTCCGTGATTTTCTGTCCACGGGCTCGGCAGGTCGGGGGAGGACGGGGTAGGGCGGCATGGCATCAGCAGGGTTTGGGTGATGGTCGCCTGCCTCCGCGTAGCCCAGAACACGGGCGGCGTTGTTTGTTCATGCAGTTCGATTACTCCGACTTCCATAGTCAAAAAGGGGGTGCTTTGATTTTTGGGGGTTCTGACTTGGGCTGTCTTGGAGGATTCTGCTGGGTCTGCGCCAAGGCCGCACTTTCATGGCTGGTTTGGGGGGGTCTAACGCTTCTCGTCTGGGAGGGTTGTGACCCCCTCCCTTCTATCACGAAATTTGGAGTAGAGATCATGATGGCAAATCCACAGGCATCAGCACACGGGTGTGTGCGCGTGTGTGTGTGTGTGTGTGTTTTTTGAATTCGTGATTGATACGGCAAAGTGCGGTCAAGGCGTGCGTCAATTCGCCAAGAGCTTTCGCATGCTGGGTCGACCGCTTGATGTGCTGGCGCGGGGGGGCGGGGGGGTCGTGCCATTCATCTCGTCGGTTCAGCAGCATGTTGATTCACCAATGTGTTGCAGTCTCGGTGCCAGACACATGGTTGAAGAGGGAATGTGCTAGGAATGAGGGCAATGTAATACCGCAGAGCACGCTTTCGCTCGCAGCGGTGGTATGGCATGCCAGTGCTTTGGACACTTTCGCTGAACAGCGGATTATTTCCGGATGTCGTTCAATTACTTTATGGGCGCATCTTCTGAGGCAACGGCAGATTTGGTAGATTGTTGTTGTTCGTCACAATTTCGGGAGCAAATGTGCACCCATTCAAGCAGCGGGCGATTTGGTAGATCGTGCGTTACTTGGTACCATTTATTGCGCAACCACTGATGCGACGGATGATTCAGGTGATTGCAGACCGATGGCGCAATTGTGCACCCCGTGAGACGGATGCAACATGTGGCGCGCGACCCGTTGTGCAATAGTACATCCATTGAGGCAGCGGGCGGTAATGGGCGATTTGATAAATCGTCGTTTGCCTGGCGCAACACATGGTGCAACTTATGGCGCAACTCATGGTGCAATGGTGAATCCACTGAGGCAACGAAAGATTTGGTAGATTGCGGGGTGTCTGGCGCGCGCAATTGTACGCCCACTTACGCAATGAAAGTAATCTATGGCGCAACCGATGCTGGAATGGTACACCCGCTGAGGCAACGGACGGGTTGTCTGATTGCGGAGAGTCTGGCGCAATCTGCGGTGCAGCCTATGACGCAATTTCTGCGGCAACGTTTGACAGGTAGACAGGGTGGGGAACATTGCGAGGTGGTAGAGTTCGGGGTGTCTGGCGCAACCTGTAGCGCAACCGATGGCGCAATTCATCGGAGGTAGACTGGACGTGGAAGCCGCGATGTATATGGAGTCATATGTGACGAGTACCATGCCGCCACGTATGCCAAATGTTCTTCAGGGCCTCTTGACGGGTCCATGGTGTAATATCCAGTTGTTTGCGGCAAGTCCCGCCACTGTGCCAGCTCAGCATTCTGGCTGGCGATCGTTCGAATGGGCACGGGTGGCCGTCACGTGTGTTATCTTGTGTCCCCAGGCTTGGGGGAGCCGTGATGATGATGCTGAGGTTGATGCTGATGATGTTGTTGATTTTGATGGTGATGATGATGCTGATGCAGATGTTGTTGGTGATGATGTTGATGATGATAGTGGTGGTGTTGATGCTGATGCTGAAGCTGATGCTGGTGCAGTTGTTCCCTCCTTTCTCCGAAGGCAGTTCCTCCTTACGTCGCTGGCTCAGCCTGCGGTGAAAGCAGATGCTGCACAGAGTCGGAAACGGGTGTCGTTCGAGACAGCACCGTCCTGCAGCTCTTAAGGCAGGAACGGTGAATGTGAAGAGGGTTCCCATCAGTGGCAATGCTCGCACGCCGGGGTGTGCAGATGAGCCGGAGACGGACAGGACCAGGGGTGCCCTCAAATTGGGCATGTTTTGACATCCGTAACCGAATTGATCAGAGTTGTGTTTTTTGTATCTTGCAATGCTTTTGTATGCGAAGAGATTCGTGGAGACGCTGGCAGGCTAAAGGCTATCAGCCGAAAGTCTCTCCCGAGTTCGACGTCGGCATGGCGCGAGTGCTCAGCGAGTCAGAGCTGAATTCCGGTGGATGTTTCGAATGGCCGTTGAGATCTTAAGTCATTGTTGTGGCCGTTTTTGAGACCAGCAGCAGTGCCGCGGAGGCGCCGCACCAGCAGCAGCGCAGCCGCAGCAACCCCAGCCACAGCCGCAGGCCGCCGCAACAGCGCAGCCGCAGCAGTCCTATCCAGCTTGTTTGGTCGCTCCAAACAGGGGGTCACAGGTGCGTCCTGACAGACAGAAAAGTAGCAAAGGTCGCCACAAAAGCGTCGCAGGTGCATTCTGTCCGCAATACGAACGGTCCCACGAGCGCAGGAAAGTGGGGCGAGTTGTTTTCTCCATTTTCCGAATGCAGTTCCTGTTGCGTCGTTGGTTCAGCCTGCGGTGAAAGCAGACGTTGCGCACAGTCGGAACATGATGTCGTTCGTGACAGCGCCGTCCTGCAGCCCTTAAGGCGAATCGTCTGGTGTGAAGAGGGTTCCGGTCATTGTCGCTGCTCGCGCTGGAGCGGGCAAGTGCGCTGGACACAGACAGGGCCAGGGGTGCCTTTCAGAAGGGCATGCCCTCAATCCTGGAACAGATGGGATGTGAGGTGTCTAATGTATGGAACCATGTTGTTTATGCGAAATCGTACACTTGCGTGGGGGTGGTGGCAAACTACATGTTGTTTTTGGTGATGATGCTGCGGATGGTGATGCTGATGAATGTGATGGTGATTTTGAGGATGGTGGTGGTGGTAGTGATGACGAGGATGACGATGTTTATATTGATGGTGGTGATGCCTGCACTTGTTTTTGATGTTTTTGTTGATGCTGATGACGCTGGTTAGTGTTGTGGATACGCTGATGTTGGAGAAAGAGATGGAGGATTATGTTCCGGATCAAGATGAGGATGCGGACGAGGGCGATGATGATAACGATGACGGTGATGATGCTTTCATGGTGGCGTTGATGATGATGGTTCCGATCGATGCGGATGATGCTGCTGATGACACTGCTGTTGCTGATGATGGTGCTGGTGATGATGGGTGGCACTGGTGATAATGGTGGTGATGGGGTAACGCTGATAATGCTGGTGATGGCGATGATGATGATGATGAAACGGATGATGGTTCTGGTAATGATGGTGACACTGTTTTTTTTGGGGGGGGGGTGACGATGATGATGGTGCCGATGATGCTGATTTTGGCGACGGCGGCGATGTTGATCATGACGCTGGTGGTGATTCCGATGTTGATGATATTGATGATGATGGTGAAGACAATGATTATGATGATGACGATGGTGACAGTGGCGACGGGGATGGTGATGGTGATGGTGATGATCGTGTTGACAATGGTGATGGTGGTGGTGACGACGATGTATGCGAGGGTGATTGTGATTATGATGCTGGTGACGGTGATTTTGATAACCATTGCCGGTGATGGTGTTGTTGTCGATGATAACGACAATATTGGTGCTGGGTGCCATTATGGTGTTGATGAGGATGCGGGTGAGGGGGGGGCTCATGATGATGTTGATGACGATGGTAGTGACAACCGAGGATGGTGATGATGATGTTGATAATTATGATGATGATGATGATGATGATGATGATGATGATGATGATGATGATGATGGTGGTGGTGGTGATGATGATGATGCTGATGATGATGAGAACATGGAGGATGAGCAGGAGGAGTCCGTCATGTGGAAATCCTCGACGTCTTTGGGTGTTTTTGGCCCGTATTCGAGCCAACGTAGGCCGTTTTGGTTGGTTTGGTTGTCTGCCTAGACCATCTTTGAAGCTCGGGCAGCGGACACATCGTAAGGTGCGAAGGATTGCTGCTTCGGGAGTGTGGATCCGCCGTATCTTGCCAGGGTTGTGGCGTCGAGCCGGGGCGGCTCATGCGGCGTAGCGTGGCGAGAGAGAGAGAGAGAGGGAACCCTAGAATATTTCAGACACACAACCAGCTAGCATTTGGCATTCTAGCACGCTCCAGCGTCTCAGCGGGCACAGAAGCGGATTTCTCTGGGTCCTGTTACCCCGTCGGCCTAATTTGCTGGCGCGGAGTAGAAAAGAGCAGAGGTACAGAAGAATTGAGGCATAGAGGCAGAGAGAAACGAGAGAGAAAGAGAGAGAGAGAGAGAGATAGAAAGAGAGAGAGAGAGAGGGAAAAAAAGCGAGAGACAGGCCGGTGCAGCATCTCGGAAGCACGTGGGTCGCATGACGACGTGATGCAGTCGTCAATCCGATTAGACGGCCACGATCGATCGATGCTTTGTTTGCCATGTCCGTCACAGAAGTCAACGGAGCAATGTGGAAATATGATGTTGTACCGACTGCGCGAGCCGCATCGGCCAACACCCAGCAGCCTCCGAGATGATCAGAGCATGGATTCAGGATCCGCCCAGCGGTTTGAGTGCCACGATCGTCATGTCTGGCGGGGCACGTTGGAAGACGAAACGCTGTCTGCCAGAGCAGAGTTGACCGCCCTCGAGCTTGGGACAACTCTTGGGAGCATGTTTGGGCGAGCCCACGCCATTCCAGAGCAACCGTATGTTTCATTTTTTTCTCATGGTCTTTACGCTTACTTGTTTTGCTCTGCTCACTAGATTTTGTGTTCCTCCCTTCCTGCCTGGGCGTCTTCCCTGGCTCGCGTTCCTCCCTTGTCTCGTCCGCCTCGCGCCTTCCCGTGTCCGTCTTGTCTTGCTGTCCTTGATGCCAGTTTAGGTCGTACTCCCCCCATCGAACACAATCATATGTAAGGGCCACAGATGGTATGGCAGTCCAGTGTTGGAAGTTGAGTCTAGAATATTCTGGTGATGCCAGTAGGATGCAGATAGATAACGATATATATATATATATATATATATATATATCCATATATCATACATATATCACACAGTCACATGTATGTACGCATCTGGGCAGAAAGAGAGAATGAGAGAGAGAGAGAAGCTTAGAGAGAGTAACTTACAAAAGAGAGAAAGAGCGAGTGAGAGAGAGAGAGAGCGCGAGAGAGAGGGGGGAGAGATGAGGAGAAAGGGAGATAGCGAGAGGGAGAGGGATAACGAGAGAGAGAGAGAGAGAAGAGAGATAGAGAGAGGAGAGAGAGAGAGAGAGAAGAGAGACAGGACTCGGGGCCGATATGGTCATATGTCAAGGATCTGTGGGTAGTGGGAGAGGGGTCGAGAGAATCGGAAAGATACACAGATGGGGAGAGGCCGATGGGAGCAGAGGTATGCAACGCGGCAGTGTACTTTCCCAACGCCGACAAGAAGGGTTCCGAGGGAGTGGGGCTCGGACAGGGGGGAAGGGGTGGGCGGGGAGGACGTGGGGGGAGGGGGTGGCGAGAGAGGGGTGGGGCTCGGCGAGGGGGGGGGAGGGGGTGGCGAGAGAGGGGTTGCTTGGAAGGGGAGGGGGAGGGGTTGGCCGCGGTTCGGTCGGTTCGGCTGCGTCGCAGTCGGTTGCGTCCGGTCGGGTCAGGTCGGTCGGTTGTGTTTCTGTTGCTGCGTCACTGCGCCCTTATAGGCTTCTTGCGGCTGGCCGCTTTCGGCCTCGGCGTCGATTTGGTCGGTTTTCGGTTGTACTGTCGCCGTGGAAGGCCTTTGGAAATGGCAGGAGGTAATGAGGTTGTTAGAGGGAGACGGGCAGTGCCCTGCAATTCCTAGTCAACGACAATCTGACGGGGCAGCTTGTTGCGAGGTGTATATTTGCACCACATCGTCGGAAGCTAACATGAATATAGTTTTGTCAGAAGTGCGTGGGCGTGAGAGGTGGCAGGAGTATTTGCCATTGGCCTTCGCCGCCTCCGCATGTTTGACGTCACCTGTCCTGGCCTTCGCACGGTGGGTCGGGTGACCTGCGGGCGTAGTGACGCCAAAGCAGCCAGGCAAAATGTATTTGTCGTGCGGTAGATAGTTCGGAGTCACCCCCTCGCAGGCACGACGCATTTCGTCTGAAGCACACGCACGTGCTTATGCGTGAAGCAGGTCGCAGCGAGGAACTCAATAAAGGCATTTTTGATTCAATTGCGACACACGGTAACAGATCGATCAGACACCAGCTTGTTGCGAAGAAAATGCCTTCCTTATTGTTGTCCTCATTGGGGGGTGGGCGCGGCCCTCATCCGCCCAGCGCGGCCCCACGTCTGGTGTCCTGGAGCCCCCCGTTCCGCTCCCTGATCCTCGCATCGTCGCCACGAGGCATGGCGTAGACGTGAGGATGGGGGGAAATGGACTGATGGGCACGGATGGGGAGGGGGGGGGGAAGATGGAGGGAAGGAAACAGGGGGGAGTGAGGGAGGAAGGAGGGAAGGGAGACGGGAACAGTGAAGGGGGAGTTGGGTGATCCTCCGCCTACCCCGCCCAGTCGCTCAGGGGATGCTTCTTGCCCCGCCACCACTGGTCGTTGTTTCTGTCCCTCCGTGTAGCCGACCTGTAGAAGTTAGCCCGGCGTCGTGACGTCCATCGAGCCTGCGGCATTCTTTGCTTCCCCTGCTGGCCGGCCCCCCTTTTCCTCCCTCCCCCTAACACCTCCCCTCTTCCCAGCTACTTTCCGCAGCCCGCCCCGACACTCCAGTCGGTTGCTATCCAGCCTCCCCTTCTTCTTCTTCTTCTTCTTATTCCTCCTCTTCTTCTTCTTCATTTCGCTTCGGTGTTCGATCAGGGACCCCCTTGTTGGAAGGAACCGTCCAGCTCTCGCGCCGAAGACAGCCGAACGACCGTCAGAAGACCGCCCAGGGCCGTCCATGGTCGACGGGTGACACAGAAGTGGTCCATGGTCGAAAACATGGACCTCTCCCTGTTGCCCCCTCCGCCCCACGCTGCCCCCCCTCGCTCGAGAGCCCAGGGCAGGTCAGGGGCATCTTCAGGGTGGGGGCAGTCTCAAAGGGGAGTGCGTGTCGACCCCCCCCCCAACCATGCATCGCCCACTCATCGCCGATGGGGGCCCGATAGCCCTCCCCGCCCAGGAACGCAGGGTGTCGCTACCGGGGGCGTGTCCCAGGTCACCCGCGGGGGCCCGAGGAGAGTCGCGCCTAGCGCGCCGCGGTCCGGGCCGGAGCGGCTGCCCTTCTCCAAGGTGGCGGCGCGAGAGCGCGAGAGAGCGCGAAGAGGATTGCGCGTCTCACGTCGCGGGGCGCGAGGTGCGAAGTTGGGTGACACGGGCATTGCCGGTGTGTCGGCGGATGCATCGTCGATTCGCCCCCACCCGGAGAGGGGCGCGGGCGCAGGCGCTCTGCTGCCGGGGCTGTGGGCTGGCGGTGGCCCGAGGTGGTCCGCGGACGGGCACGAGCTGAGGCGAGCCCCGTGCGCTCCTTCCCTCTCTCTCTCTCTCTTCAGGCTCCCGTCTTCTCGTGCGCTCTTCCTCCTCTCTCCTCGTGCGCTCTTCTTTCACATGCTCCCCAGGCTGACTGCATGCTCCCCCTTTAGTTTCCCGCGCTGCCGTTTCGAGCGCGTCGCGCTCTCCGCCGCCCTCCAGTCTCTGTGTACGTTGGGCCGCCCGGGGCTCGGGGCGGGGCCTCCCCTCGCTGGCGAAGGATGGTGGTCGACACGGAATCTCGGGGTGAGAGTTAGCAGCAAGACGGCGCGCAGACAGTTGCCATGCCGAGCACAGCGGACCTCCTCTGTCTGATCTACTGCATCCTCCTCTCTCTACGTCTCTCCTCGTCTTCTCAGAGGGTCAGTTCGGGCCCTCGCCTTCGCTGCTTGGCCGCATCCAGGCACACCGAGCGCCCTCGCCTCCCAGCCACATCAAGCAAGCGCCTGCTTTCCCCTGTGCACTCCATCTGTCTGCTAGTTTGGGATCGTCTGCCTTCTTGTCCTTCTCCCTTGATCTGCCTCGTGGGGACTCGGTGGGGTCTGAAGGCCTTGTGGTGAGTCTATCTCGGGCATGCTTTCATTTTTCGTTCCGACTGCCACCGTTGTACTGCAGGCGGTCAGTTAGGTCAGAATTTGTCCGCGGGGCACTTCCGCTGGTCGTGTGCGCAGCAGCTGCTGTCGCGCAGACCCGCAACCATGGTCAGGACAGCGGCATGGCAATGCAGTAGGCTTCAACATTTGTGCCGTCGCGTGCCTGTCAATGGCGTGGTAAGAAAGCGTCATTGCATGACCACGTGCCCGCGTGTGCGTTTGCCGCCTCCTGGGGGCTTCTCCAGGGCCCTTGCATGTTTGCCAACGATCTTGATGGGGGTCTCAGAACCGTTTGCAGGTGCCGAGGGGCACTTTCGAAGTCGTCTCAGACCGCGTTGAGCCTGAGCCGTCTTGGGCCAGTCTTCGGTTGTCATGGTGTTGTCTCGGAACCATTCAGATGGGGTGGCCATATTATGCCCCTTGGCGTCGTGAAAGTAGTGTACCAGAAGTACCTGCTCCGATGCCTTGGGAACGTCTTGAAAGATGCCGTGTCCCACCTTGGGAGCTGTTTGCGTGGCCATGTAGACTAGAGTTTTGGGGAGCCCGGGCTTACCGCGTCTTTTTGACGATTCTGTGTGGAATTTTGGCGGTCCACTGTTCGTAGGATGTTTGCAGCGAGAGTTCGTGTCACATATCGGATTGGGTCCGCCATCGTATAGCCTTGTCAAGCAATTTGGAGTCCCCAAAGTTCGAGCCTCATGTATCCCCGATCCTTGGCTGTCGCATGTGCCGGCCCCAGGGTTTTCTGAATTTGCTCTGAACGGTCGCGCGCCGTCTCGAGAAAGTGGGCCCATTGGGGGCCCTTGTGTGCAGCCCGAAGGCCGCCCGGCGGCGGCTCCGAGGAGCTGTTTCAGGGCCCTCCAGGAGCTCTAGTTGGATTTTCTTTGGACAATGAGGATAGCAGGAAGGGGAGGAATCATTGGATGGAAGATTGCGAGTGTGCGAGGAGATGGAGGACATGTGATGATGATGCTGCTGATGATGATGACGGCGATGATAGCGACGATGGTGTTGGTGATGGTGACGCTGATTGTGATGATGATCATGAGGAGGATCAGGATGATTATGATAAGGATGATGAGGATGATGATGATGATGCTGATGACGATGATTATGATGATGACGATGATGTTACTGACGACAACTTGGATGATGACGTTGTTGAGGATGCACATGATGATGCACATGGATGGGTAGGCGTCGGGGATGAGGCGGTTGGTCATGATGGTGGTGGTGACGATGACGACGACGATGCTGAGTATGCTGATCTTGACGGCATTGAGGCTGTTGATGATGTTGTTGATTATGATCATGATGATGATGACGATGCCGATGACGACGATGGTGAGGAGAATGATGCGGATGACGTTGATGATGATGATGCTGATGTTGCTGAGGATGACTATGCAAGCTGATGCTGCGTCTGCTGCTGCCGATGATGACGATCATGATGATGATGCTGATGATGATGCTGATGATCATGATGATGCTAATGATTGTGATGCTGATGACGACGACGATGACGATGGCGACGATGATGAACTGATGATGATGCTGTTGCTGTTGCTGTTGATGTTGATCTGGATGATGCTGACTTGCTGATGATGCATATGGCGAGGACCGGGGCGAGGTCGATGACGAAGCTTGTAATCATAGCGATGCTGCTGATGATGATTGTGATGCTGGTACTGATAATGACGATGATGATGACGATGATGATGATGATGCTGATGGCAATGATGATGATGATGATGACTACGATGATGATGATGATGATGATGATGATGATGATGATGAGGATGAGGATGATGATGATGATGATCATGATCATGAGCATGAGCATGAGCATGGTCATGATGATGATGATGATTATGATGATGATGATGATGATGATGATGATGATGATGATGATGATGATGATGATGATGCGGCTGCTGATGCTGATGATGATGAGGATGTCGAGGAGGAGGAGAAGGATTATGATGATGTTGATGGTGATGGTGATGGTGATGATGATGATGATGATGATGATGATGATGATGATGATGATGATGATGATGATGATGATGATGATGATGATGATGATGATGATGATGATGATGATGATGATGATGATGATGATGATGATGATGATGATGATGATGATGTTGTTTCAGATGGTACTGGGGAAATGGATGCGACGAGGTCATCGTGTAATTATCAGATAACCCTAGACGGGAGGTGGAAGGTGGGAGGGAGAAGGACGAAGACCTCACAATGCCTCGCGCCAGCTTCGCTGCCAACTACCTGGGACACTTCCTGTTGGTGAACCTGCTGTTGCCCGACCTACAGGCCAGCTCGGCGAAGCCGGCGCGCTGTGTGATCCTCGGGAGGGGCGCCCGGCGGGGCCATTGCGGGGAGGGGAGGAGGAGGTCGAGGAGAAGAACAGCGATGGGCAGGAAGAGAGGCAGGAGAGCGGGAAAGCGAGGTGGATGAGGAGGGGACGTGGCGGAGGGAAATGAGGCTGGAGGAGTGAGGCTTGAGGGAGGGAGAGTGTGGAGAGGCATAGGGATAGTCACAGGGGTAGGGATGATGAAGAGGAGGAGGAGGAGGAGGAGAAGGAGGAGGATGAGAAGGAGGAGGAGACACCAGAAAAAGTCGAGAGAGTCCGCCCGCTCGAAGATCGACTCGCTACCCCTCGGGAGGGAAGGGACCCTCGGGGCCCTGACGGGCCCTCCGACGGGCCCGGAGCTCGACCCAGGCTCCCCCAGGTCCACCGACTCCACCCGGGAGGATCCACAGGGGGCCCGTGCTCGCTGGGAGGTCAGGCCGCGGGCCCGTCCCAGGAGGGGTTTCATCAGGAGGGGAAAAAACACACAGACACAATTAATCGCCAATTCCCCAGAAAATATGGGAAAATATGGGAGGTGGGGGGGAAGACAAAAACCCAGAAAATATGTGAAAATATGGGGAATCTTTTTATTTGTGTGTATTTATTTGTGTGTCCTGGGGCCCCTTCATTTCAGGAGCGGGCGATACATGAACGGAACCATCGGGTAACCCCGAGTGGATCACCTGGGCTTAGTATCATTTCACCGATCCCTACCCCTATCTCCATCCCCATCCCGAGCCCCACGATCTCACCACCCCAGCTGGGGATCTACCCCTCCAAACCCGAAGGGAAAATCCTGCATTCCCATCTAGGGGGATCAATCGGCCAGTGGGGCCGAGGCCACGCCGGTGGGGAAAGGGATCGGTGAAACTTGGGGCTCAAGAGACGCGGGTCAATGCAACCGGGTGTCAGCCGGAGCGCCAGATCTTGCAGGATCATGCAGAGCCAGGGGTGCATTGACCGGGGTTAGCGTGCACGATCCCGCAGGACCCTGCAGGATGTTGCAGGATCTTGCAGGATCCTGCAAAGCCTGACTGGAGCTTAAGTTTTGATCCTTTGCACATATCGCGCTTTATGTGGCCTCCAACCCACCCGCCCACCCAGTACATAACATAACGCCCGCCACCCCACCCACCCCCGTCGCAGCATCGCCCATTGTGAAGCGCAGATATATGCTGTTCGTAGTTCGCACGCCACGTGTTCTCAGTGCGCAAACGTGCGCCTGTGGTATGTAGCGGCGCGTGGCGCGCGCAGACTTTTGTCGCGCCCGCGCAGACGCGGCGGCACATGCTGCAGTGGAACAATTTCAGCGCGGCGCGCACAGCGCAGGCACCAGCTGATGTGGTGCACGCAGGCGTTGTGGTGTCCAGCGTTGTGGTATACACGGGTTTTGTTTGGTTTTGTTGTTCGCGCAGGCAGCGGGGTAGGTTTTGTGCCCAAGGCCAAATCATATCATGGTCACAGTGTACACAGTGTGATACGCTCGAACAGAATATGACTTGCTTGAGGTGCAGGGGGACAAGGGGAAGGCGGAGGATGGGAAAGGAGGGGGCGGCAACGATGAGGAAGGACTGGGATCCAGAAATGTGGCCCAAGCTCGGGCCAGAGCGCAATTCCTGGACGACGGGAGCAAACGCGCCGATCTGAAAATGAGGCCCCCGTTGCGGCGGGAGCACCATGTGGAGACACTGGAAACAATCGGATTGTAAGCACAGTCGTTGTAAAGACAGTTTTTTCCGTATCCAGTGGGTTGGAGACAGTACGCAGAAAGGGTGGGCTTCCCGGCAGAGTCAGAGGAGAGATGAGAGTTGCATTCGTAATGTGTAACGGTGGAGTAACGGGCCGAGCGAAAGGGGGGTAGGGAAAGGGGGAGTTACGAAATCTGCTGCATGCAGCTGGTTTCGGTCCCGCCGCCGGGCCCAGTCCTCGATACATGGGCGCCTACCGGCGCTTGGAGGCGCTGAGAGAATCAGCTGCGCGAGCTGATTCTCTACCCTACCCTTTGCTATCCCCCCCTTTCGTTCCCCCCGAGAGTAGGGAGGAGGGGTCAACCGTGCCATGCACGGACTGCTGGCACCCTCGCCGACGATGCCCCGCCCTTTGGGCAGAAGTTGTCCGCAAGACCCGCGCGGGCGCAGCGTTCGAACAATTGCTGATCATTATCTGACTTGTCCACCTATGCAGCAGGCGTCAGGCACTCCGTGAATGGAGAGCCCTTCTTCTTGCAGCCCGTATGCGCAAACGTCAATGATGAGGGTTCTGAGGGGCTTGAGAATGCTCCGCTCGTTTAGTGGTTTCGGCAAGGTGGCGCGGATATAGGTACAGGCGCATGGCAACTGCGTGGAAGAGGGCGAGGGGAGGGTGGCGCATGCGAACCCGCCCGCTGGAGCCGCAGGTGGAACGCTTTGCGGTGCACGATCCGCGTTGGGTGTTGGGCAGGTCTATGTGATCGTTTTTTATTCATTGGTTTGCTGGTCGGCGCGGGCCCCCAAGCCCCCTCTCCCCCCCTCCCATGGAGTAGATATTGGTTGTTTTTGTTGCGCCTGGTGGTCTCTCCCCCAGAGGCAGCACTCTTGCAAACAGTCGCACTAAACAGAGGTCTGGAGCCAGACCCCCCCCCTCCCCCCTTTCCGCCTAATGTCGAAACGCCGAATAAAAAAGAAATGCTCACTATGCGATCCCACCCACCGGGGCCACAAGTGGAGCTTCTTTCGGGGCACGGTCTGAATGAGGATTCCGCCGAAGTGATCGATGAGCTTCCTAATTACCATGGGCGGAGAGACGCTGCACGAATCCAGCAACAGGGGCCGTAGGCGGAGAACCTTGGTGGGCACGATCCGTTTGAGATGTGTGCAAGCGTGGACGGGGCGACTGCGCAAACTCGCCCGCTGAGGCCGAAGGTGGGGCTTCCCATGAGACATGATTCGTTTAACGGGCGTGCATGCGTGGACAGGGCGACGGCGAACCTGCTCGTAGGGGCCGTAGGTTGAGCTCCCCACGGGGTACGATCCTTGTGAAGGGGGTGTGCCGAAGCGGGCGGGGCGACGCTGTGAATGGTTGCACGTGCGACCACGTTGGCCGCCTGAACGCGCATGGTGAGCCGCCGGATGTGCACAGTGCGCACCATTAAACGTGATGTCCCATGTGGGCCACTCAAGCACCAATGTTGTCCTCGTGCGGCCAGTATGGCCGCCCCGCCCCGCCAAGCGTTTTTTCCTTATCGTAAAGAGTTCTTCAAGAGACACTAGTACTGGTGAGAATGAGATACGCTAGTAATCAAAAACTCCTGCGGCGAATCACTACCGTCCCCTGCCTTTTTGGACGCGCCTGCGTGGCCGAACGTTGGGTTTGAGCTATGGCCAAGCTATCGGGCCACGTGTTTCCCGAGTAGGTCTCGAAAGCCTTCGGCGCACACGGAGTCGGGCGAGCTATCGGACCAGGCGGTTTCCGAGCTTTCGGGCCTCCTGGAGGACGTCTCGGAGGGGTCTTGGGCTGTCTTGGAGGCCTCTGGCGGGCCTTTGGGGCAGTCTAAGGCCATCTTCAGGCCATCTGGGGCCGTCTTGGGTGCATCTTGGGGCCATCTTCGCAGTCTTGGAGGCCTTCTTGGCCGTCTTTGAGGCATCTTGGAGGCCATCTTGGCCTTCTTGGAGGCCATCTTGAGCGTCTTGGGGGCCTCTTGAGCCGTCTTGGGGTCTTGTTGGGGCCCTCTTGGGGGCCTCTTGGCCTGTCATGGGGCCTCTCGGAGGCCTCTGAGGCGCTCTTGGGGCGATGTTGGGGGCCTCTTGGGCCGTCTTGGGCCGTCTGAGAGCTGAAACGAAGCAAACGCCAGAATCCTTCAAACACCGAAGGCAAATCAATGATTTTGGCCCCTTCGGGCCTTTCTGGTGGAGCTCTTGGAGGCGTCTTGGGCTGTCTTGGAGGCATCTTGGGCGCCTCTTGGGCCACCTTCGGCTCTCTTGGGGGTATTTCTGCCGCCTTGGAAGGCCATCTCGGCCGTCTTGGAGGTCATCTTGGCCGTCTTGAGGCATCGTGGAGGCCATCTTGGGCGTCTTGGAGGCCTCTTGGGCCGTCTTGGGGCCCTCTTGGGGCTGGCTTGGAGGCCTCTTGGACCGTTATGGAGGCCTCTGGGACGATTTTGGGGCCTCCTTGGGCCGTCTTGTGAGGAACAGCCAAACTCCTTCAACAACGTAAGGGTAATCAATGATTTCGGCTCCATCGGGCCTTCCTGGGGCCATCTGGGAAGCCTCTCGGGCCCATATTGGGCCATCTTGGCCGTCTTAGCGGCCATCTTGGCCGTCTTGGAGGTCATCTTGTCCGTCTTGGAGGCATCTTGGAGGTCATCTTGCCCATCTTGGAGGCCATCTTGGGCGTCTTGGAGGCCTCTCGGGCTGTCTTGGAGCCCTCTTGGGACGTCTTGGAGGCCTCTTGGGGCCGATCTTTCGGCCCTGTTGAGCTGTTGTGGGCAGTCGGACGGCTGGAACATAGCAAAAGCCAACATCCTTCACAAACCTACGGAACACCACTAATTTGGGCATCTTAGGGCCCTCGTGGAGGACCTCTTGGAGGCCTTTTGGGCCGTCTTGGAGGCCTCTTGGAGGCCTTGGGGCCGTCTTGGTCCGTCTTAGGGGTTTCTCGTGCGAACTTGGAGGTATCTTCGACCCTCTTGTGCCGTCTTGGGGTCCATCTTGGACCATCTTGGGCGAACTTGTTGGCCATCTCGGGCCATCTGAGCTGTCCTGGAGGCCATCTTGAGGACGTCTTGGGGGCTTCTTAGGCCGTCATAAGGCCATCTTGGGGCGATCTCGGGGCGATCTTAGGGGCCTCTTGAGCCGTCTTGGGTTGTCGGAAGGCCCATCAGAAGCACATACCAACATCTTTTCAAAAACGAAAGCAAAGCCATTGATGTTGGCCTCTTCGGGCTCTCCTGGAGGACATTTTGGAGGCCTCTTGGGCCGTCTTGGAGGCCTCTTGGGCGCCTCTTGGGCCCTCTTGGACCGTCTTGGAGGCTTCTTCGACCCTCTTGGGCCGTCTTGGAGGCAATCTTGGACCATGTTGGGCGAACTTGGGGGCCATCTCGGGCCATCTGAGCCGTCTTGGAGGCCATCTTGAGGCCGTCCTGGAGGCTCCTTGGGCCATCATGAGGCCATTTAGGAAGCCTTTGGGACCATCTTGGGGCGATCTTAGGGGCCTCTTGGGCCGTCTTCGGCTGTCGGAATGGCCACAAAAGGCACATACCAACATCTTTCAACCACCAAGGAAAGCCATTGATGTTGGCCTCTTCGGGCCTCGTGGACGACCTCTTGAAGGCCTCTTGGGCCGTCTTGGAGACCTCTTGGAGGCCTCCGGGACCGTCTTGGGCCGTCATAAAGGTTTCTTGTGCGAACGTGGAGGCTTCTTGGACCCCCTTGAGCCGTCCTGGAGGTCATCTTGGACCATTTTGTCTCATTTTGGAGGCCACCTTGGGCCAACGTGACCATCTTGGAGACCATCTTGAGCCGTCATGGACCATTTTTTGGTGACGTTGGGGTGGTTCATGCTGCCGTGTGCGGCCTTTCGGGTGGCCGCCGGCGGGACGGGCCGAAGCTCGGCCGGATGGCGATGGGGGGATCAGGACATGGGGGGATGAGTATCCGGTACCGTTTTGTTGGGGTACAATTTGTACCTTTTCTGCGGGTAGCAAGTACAAATTGTACCTTCTCCCCCCCGTTAACATCCTCGCACATGTCGCGGACGTTGTCAAAAGTACAATTTGTACCTTGTCTGCGTGGCGTTGGTACAACTTGTACCTTCTCCGTGGGGCGTAGGTACAATTTGTACCTCGGTTGCGCCTCTCTCCCCCCCTGGACTTTCCCCCCATTTTCATCCCGCCAAGAAGCCCCAGGGAGTTTTTTTTTTGGGGGGGGGGGGGTATATATATATATATATATATATATATATATATATATATACACACATGTAAAAAGAAAAAATATCCAGTATCGAATGGATCTAGCACGCCGGGCACCCGTGTGGCAAGCCAACAGGGGGCGGCGGATCTGATGGCCTTCGGCCCATCCCGCCACCGAGCCTGGGTTGTGGGGATGAAGCCTATGGGATTTTCATTGGGATCTCGTGGGAGACTTCTCGGGGGCCTCTTGGAGACAGTTCGGACGCCTCTTGGGAGCCGTTCGGGGGCCTCTTTCGTGCCTCTTCGGGGCCTCGGGGCCTCTTGAGGGCCTCTTGGAGGCCTCCTGGGGCCCCCCTGCCGCCTCTCAGGGCCTCCTGGGCGCCTCTCGGGGCCTCCTGGAGGCCTCTGAGGGCGGGGGCCTCGGATTTTCGGTTTGTGTTCCCTCTTTTGGGGCCGTCTGGGGCGCCTCTTGGGCTGGGGGCGGTCTTGGGGGCCTCGTGGGCCGTCTTGGAGCGTCGGGAAACGGAACAAGGCGCGAAAATCAAAATTGCTCAAAAACCTAAGGACAAACAATGAATCTTCTCGGGGCTCTCTTTGGAAGCCTCTTGGGGCGTCTTGGAGACTTCTTGGGCCATTTTGGGGCCATCTTGGGCGTCCTGGAGCGATCGTTCGGCGACTCGGTGCCCTCTTGGACCGTCATGGTGGCGTCTTGGGGCTCTCTGGGTCTGTCTTGGAACCCTCTCGGGCCCGAAAGAGTTACGCGCCACGTTTCGACGGGCAGCGGGAAGTCCCGAGAGATTTGGCAATTTGGGTTCCAGTCCTCTTAAAAACTTCTCAGGAGTGAGGACTGTGGCATGCTCACTCCGTGCCCAGAGGCACGGTGGCGGATGGCAAGAAAGCTACGAACGTGGACACGCAGTGTGCATGTGGTCCAAGTGAGGAGAGGGATCGTCATGGTCGGTCGCGCGGCGCTCTTCTGTCGCCAAGTGTAGCACGTCGGAGGGAGGACGGTCACCGCGAGCGTCAACGAGAAGGACGTCGGCGGCATGATCCCTCCCGTGGCCGACGTCGGCGATTTTGGCGGCTTGGAGATGGGCATGAAGAAGCCGGTCCTCTGTTTTTGCTGGGCAGAGTGGGGCGCCCTGGATGAAATGGGTCCTAAGGCATTCCTCGCGTTCGCTCTACAGGGTCTCGAGCTGGGCCCTAGGATCGTGGAAAAGATCCCTCCCATGGCCGACGCTGGAAGAGGCCAGTCCTTCCATCAAATCCGGGCGCCGCAGAAAGATCGCGGCGGCAGGTTTTTCGTGGCTTGCGGCCTTTGGAGGCCCTGGGGGAAGTGTTTGAATGCCCGGAGTGCCGACGTCACGGAAAGATGCAACGTCGGAGGAGATGGCTTGTTTTCCGCACATCCTAAGTGGGGTTCTTGTTTCCCACATTTTTAGTGCGACCTTGGTTTTCTCTGGACACGCCCGAGCAGAAAATAACACGCACCTCACTCTATCCTCATCTTTTCCTTTCACACTCACCATCGCAATAACACCATCACCACCACTATCACAATCCCATCGTGATCATCGACCATCAGCAGCATCATCATCAGCATCAGCACAAGCATCAGCATCATCATCATCAGCATCATCATCACCACCATCATCATCATCATCATCATCAGCATCATCAGCATCATCATCATTATCATCACCAGCATCATCATCATCATCATCACCATCATCGCACACACGTAAACTTACACATTCCCACATTAAGTTTGAGGAAGTCTAAAGCGGGAACCACGTCAGTGCGCGGATCGCGAGGGCATCTCGAGCGGCCGCCCCCTCCCTGTCGGCCCCGCGCTCCTCGCGAGTAATCTGCGACAGTCATCGGCATATTGTAGCAGGCGCAGCCCATTGAGCGCCCCAGATGGGCAAATCGTGAGGACGGCTCGAGCGGGGGCCTCATCTGTGAGGGAGTTGGCTCCCTCCCCATGTGGCACCCTCTTCACGAAAGTAATCTTAGGCGGACATCGGCATACTGTAGCAGGCATAGCACTTGTTCACCCCAAGGAGGCGCATCGTGAGGTGCATTGCGAGGAAATATCGAGCACTGGCCCCCTCACTAAGCGGCCCCGACTGAGTGAGTGACGAGGAAGTCTCGAGCGGGAGCCACCTATGCGATCCCCATGACATGTGCAATCCCAGGCCGCCATCAGCATGTTTTAGCAGGCATCGCTCTTGAGCACCCCAAAGGGGCAAATGGTGAGGATGCCTCGAGCAGGAGCCCCCTCCCTATGGGGCCGGCCCTTCATGTTAGTATTCTGAGGCGGTCATCGGCGTATGTGAGCACACCAGGGGGGCAAATCGTGAGGATGTCTCGAGGGGTCTCGTTTTTGAGTGAGTTACGATGAAATCTCGAGCGGGAGCTTCTCCCTCTGGCCCCCCCGTTTCATGTAGGTATCTCAAGCGGTCATCGACAAACTTAAGCAGGCATCGTTCTCGATCACCCGAAGGAGGCGAGTCGAGAGGATGCCTCAAGGGGGGCGCCTAGTCTGTGAGTGAAGGGCGAGGAACTCTCGAGCGGCCCCCCCTCCCTATGCGCCCCCGCTTCAGCGGCATAGTGTAGCAGGTGTAACACTTGATCGCCTGAGGGAGGCAACTCGTGCGGATGCGTCAAGCGGGGCCTCGCTTGTGAGTGAAAGGCGAAGAACTCATCAGCGGGAGCCTTCTCCCTATGGGCCCCGCACGAGAACCTGCTGGTTCGGTTCACGGCCGTGCAGAAGGAGTTTGACAAGAAATTGGTGTTCGAGCATGAGCAGCGGGTCACCATCGTGTTTTCCGAGTACGCCCCGAGGACGACCAGCAGTATGAGGGCTGCGCGCCCGGGCAGCTGTTTCGCCGCCGCCTTTACCGCATGGAAGCGGTTGACGATTGGCTTCAATGAGTCCCCAATCAACCAAGAGGTCGCCGAGCTGCTGCTACAGGGTACCGAAGGCGTTGACGACGACGGCCAGACCGAGGCGAGGGCGGGGAGTTTTGCTCATATTCAGGCCCTGCGAGCATAGCTCACGCGGCAGAACTCGGGGCACCGTGCCCCGCTCCGCGCGCCGTTCGGGGTTCACCATGACGCCCGCGGCATACCTCATCTGCACCCTGTCGCAGGGAAGCGCTGCGCAAGGGCGTTGCCGTCGAGTGCGTCGTGGACGAGGACGCTGGCACGTCGGACGACCGGTGGTGGCTGCATCTCTACGTCATGTTCTCCCGCGCCGCGCCCGCGCCCCGCGCAGAACATGTCGACATTTCGGCCGTCCGAGTGAGAGTTCCCGGAGCGAGGGCCGCCGGCGCCCTTGCGGCTGGCGCCCCAAAAGTTCGACGAGGGCGGAGCGTTCCAGAGGCGGAGGAAATGGCGGCGCCCTGCTCCAAGCCAGCGGGTTTGTCCCGACGGCTTGCCCCCGCGCCCCAGCGGCGCGCGGTGTCGTTTCACGGCCTGGCCCGCGAGGTTGCCTTGGCAGCTTCGCGATCTGGCCATCGGAAGACGTGCCCCTGCCGGCAGCGGTGGCGACGGCGTTGTCGGACATCGACATGGGCGCCTTTTGCGAGAGGGCCGGGGAAGAGGTTGGGTGGGAGAGAAGAGGCTGGGTGACGAGGAGGAGGCCGAGCAGGGGGCGGGAGGAGGGCTTTTTCTCTAGGGCGTCAGGGAAATATTCAGAATGGCGATGGGGAGACAGGGCGAAAGTCTTGACGTCTAGAAAAAAAACGGTCGGGATTGCTTTCAGATTCGTTTGGGTGTATTCTCAAGCGGGGTCTACCATCGCAGCAATTCTGAGCAGAGTGGGGTCGTCTATTCGCGTCGCACGCATGTGGTGGCGGTTCAGGCAAACAGAAAGGAAGGAGGCATAAAGGACGGGCTTGTAGGGCGGATCGGGGATGGGTACGGCGAGCGGAATTAGGGACGCTGCCAGAGGAGGTGCCGTCTCGCGCTCCCCATAGTGGGTGGGGCACAATTCCAGGCTCGCGGCGCTGAAGGGCACCAGGGGTGAGAGCGCGCGTCTTCCGACGGTTCCCCTGGGGTTTTGCGGTGCTGGGTGCTTTTGGGTCTTGGGTCTGGTGCTTCTCTCGGGCTGCACTGGTGCACGGGCGGCCCCCACACCCCCGCTGGGCGCCCCACGTGCCGCTGGCCTCCCGCTGGTGCGCTGGTGCGGCGTTGCAGTGAACGCGCCGTTCCTGGCCCCCACGTTGAGCACGCTGGGTGTAGTGAAGACGCGGGTTTCTGCGCCGACCTTTACATCTGGGTCGGGGTAGCCTACTCGTGGCCGGGGGTCGCCATGGCCAGAGGATCCTCCTTCGTTCCGCATCCGGGCAGCACGATGGCCGAAGGGTACGACTGTCGGACGGTTTCGCTTTTTCTTTCTCGTATTCTTGCCTCCCCAGAGCGACTCTGAGGCGCGTGTACACGTTTGTGCGGTACGCGAGTTAATGTGTGAGGGCGCGTGTGCGTGCGATTGGGATCCATCTGTCCTGATGGTGTCTCGTCGTGATTTTTCACCGCTGGTTGCAACCCGCTGGCGCGTCGGAGGCAAAGCGAGTACGTGTATGCAGTGGCGCGCCCCCGCCGCTATCCAGTTCTTCCTTCACTTCCATCCCCTTTTTTTTCCAAGTCAACCAATCCGGAGATTAGGACGCGCACATCGCCGGCCGATCACACCCTGCCCGCTCCCTTCCTCTTCCCGCCCTTTGATTTTCTCCTTATCTGAACCTCCTGGAGGATCCATTTGTGAGAGGGAGGGGGCTCAATCGTTCTTCCCATCCGCGCCATCGCTGCAGGTTGCCATGGTGGACGGCAAAGAGTTCATCGGCGCGAAGGCCTATAAAGACAGCAAGGTCTGACGCATAACGAGTCGGAGTGTTTTCCTCACCTTTCGGATTTACAGGGCTTTGATGATTTGGCGCCCCGCCGCACGGTTCCTAGGGGGGATGAGTCTTGCTCCTATCTAATATTTGAGGGGGGTGCGGCTGGGGGAGTTTCGGGCAGTGCCAAGGTGGGTCATCACCAGGAGGGGCCACTACTTCCTGTAGATGAGGATCGAAGGGGAGGGACAGTCAGTGATCGAGCAGGTTTGGGACATCTTCGGGGGTTCGTTCCCTGGGGGAGGTGGAGACACCCTCAGTGGTGACCCCCCCGTGGCATTGCCTGAGAGGTTTTGGCCCTCCTCCACTGGCGTTGCGCGCACCTTTCCTGCGTCGTCGCAGAACGGCGACGTCGCCGTCGTGGTCGTCGTTTCGGAGGATCTGTGGGCGCTCTGGAGGAGGCTTGCGTCGCCACGGCTGGGCGCGGCTCGGAGATAGTCCAGGACGGAGGGGTTCGAGGACCGGGTTGGGGCGGATCGTGTCGTTTCGGAGGATCTGTGGGCGTTCTGGAGAAGGCTCGCGCCGCCACGGCTGGGCGCGGCTTGGAGACCGTCCAGGACGGAGGGGCGCCTTCAGAAACCACGCCCGCGCGCTATCGTCTGGCGTTCGATGAGAATGCGCCGATGAAGCTTCGGGCGTCGAGTGACCTCGATCAGCGTCGAGTGGGGTCTGTCAGCGTCGATTCGCAAGTTGACATGAAGGTTCCCATGAGTTGCCGCGTAACTTCTCAGAGGCCACAGGAGAGTTTCGAAGAGTCCGGCAGCGTCGGCGACGGCGACGGCGCGACGGCGCGACGGCGGCGGCGCCGACGCTTCCATCTCCGCTCTGCGACGCCGCGGGCATGGGAGGGGGAGGCGGCATGGCGAGGGGGAGGAGGAAGAGCAGGAGGATGGGGAGGAGGATGCGAGGGAGGCGGAGGAGGAGGCGGATGAGGATGACGAGGAGGAGGACCAGTGCCAACCCAGGACGCATCACCGATGCCGCGGTCTATCCTCCCTTCAAGCTCCCTTTCGGCAGGTCCCTGAAAGAATGTGTTTTCATTACGGGATGCGGCCCATCAGAAGACAGCTGCCTGAGAACCCTCCATCGTGCCATGCCACAAGTCTTGGGACTTCAGCGCCGCGGATTAACGTGACGGATGCGCACCGCGCGCGCGCCGCCACGCGCGCGTGCTGAAATCTTTCCATCACCATTGGCTCTCTAATGTTTAAAAGGACCGGGTTCTAAACACATCTGAAGCCCAACCGGCAGTCTGCTGTTTTTATGCAGCTCCGCGCGCGCATCACGATCACCCTCATCAGCGCCACCGCAGCACTGCCAATGTCGTCATCGCCAATCGCCTCCGGTGATGATATGATTATCGTCATCGTCGTCAACAGCATTGGCGCCGTCATTGGCCTTGCCGCCGTCATCGTCATGATCGCCACCACCATTGCTACTGCCATCATCGTTGTCGCCGTTGCCGACGTCATCCTGATACCGCTCCCGCTCGAATCACCGAACTGCATTAAAGTGCCCGCGCGCCAGCGCGGCCTTTGAGACGCGCTGGGGAGTTCCCATCGGCAAACGCCATCGCGGCCGCGTAGGCTGTGCCAGACCTGCTGGTCGCTCTGTGCGTGGGCTTGCGTTCGCTAGTGTAGCCGCAGAGATGCACTAGTTACGGCGAAGTAGTTACTGCAATCGTGGCCGCATGGGTTGTGCAAAGCACGTCGCGGATGGGACGGTGGGTTGATTTGGCGAGCATTGCGACGTCAAGCTGTGCAAGGTGGACTGCGCCACATTGCTTACACCACGTAGCTTGCGCCACGGAGCTTCCCCATCCACAGCGCAACGACTCACTGTTTGGAGCCGACGCCGCTCGCGAGCACCTGTGCTTCCTGGTCTGGTACTTCGGTTGCTGCTTTCGTGCCCCAGGACAGACAAGCAATGTCTCGGGACGGAAAGCTGGCCCCAGGAAGGCGGTCGAGAGGTGCACGCTGGTCGTCGAGAGTACGTATTTCTGGATTCCCAGATCCCAGAATCGATATGCTTTTGCTGTGTTTTGTTGTATGCTGTGTTCTGTTATTCTCATGGAGGTCCGAGACCCAATCTACCTTGTCCGCCTTCCTGCGTCATGTTTTTACATACCTCTTCCGACCGGCGTGTAGTGGGGCCCACGTCTCACCAAAAAATCGTGCCGCCGGATGTTTGGGTCCTGGGGGCATCTCGTCGCCGTGGCCTGAACCGCCTCGGGAACCGTGCCAGGCTGGGCCCCGCGTGACGGGTCCCCGGTGGCCGGGTTTTGGAGCGGATGCGGGCCGGGCGCGCGAGCCGCTGCAGTCTGAGCTGGCCTTCCTCTGACGTATGTCCTGCTCCTCCCTGCCTCCTCCGAGGAGGACAGGGCACCCATACCGCTGCCCTTCCCTCGGTTTCGCCTTTCCGGGCCTCCTGCTAATTGGGCCTTTGTCTCCACTGCTGGATTCGCCTCAAAGGCCTTGTCAGAGCGCACCCTGGGAGGGGTCCGTGGAGTAGCGATATCGGTGCCTTTTGACTTCCCCAACTCCTTCCGGGGCGTTTTCCAGCGAAAGCAATCGGCACACACATAAACTTACATGCGGCCGTGGCGAGGGCCAGCCCGAACCCGGCAGCACGCCTTCTTCGGGTGGGTGCCAGGGTTCGCGAAAGCATGGGGAGAGAACATGGGGCCCAACATCATCAGCTCTAAGTGTTGGTACCAGGTGTCGCTGACGATGCGAGAGGGCGCAGTGGATAGACGAACGGCTGCACCAAACCGAATTGCTCAGCTACAAGACATAGGTGGGTGATGTGGGTGCAAGGTTTCGACAGCGACAACGGTTTCTTCTCGTTGAGGACCCGAATCCGTTCGAATCTTCCGTCTCGAGCGTAGGGCGGGTAGGGCCAGAGAGGATGGGGGCGTCACAGTTTCATGTTCCCCCAGAAGAATTGCATTGACCCTGCATGCTCCTCCTGGGGCACCCTGTGCATGCGGCAAGTTCCTATCCTGTGTTGTGCATCGTTGGCTAAGGTCTGCTGCGTGATGCTCATGCGGGAGGACATGCTTTTCGATACGACATCGTCTTGCGGCGGGAGGAGGAGCGGGTGCAGGTGTGGAAAAGGGGAAGGGAAGAGAAGGAGGACGGCGGGATAGGGGCGGGGAGCGACATCGGGGAGCGAGGGCGTGAGGGGAGGGGAGTGAGGGGGAGAGGGGGAGGAGGGAGGAATGAATGAGGAAGGGAAAGGCTGCGAAGGCATGATGCGTTCGAGATCTCCTGGACGTCTTGCATCTTCGAGGTCGCCCCCCGTTATCCCAGAAAATTGTCCATTTAGACGAGGGGGAACTCGCTGATACATCCTCTGGGGGCTGTTTAGGACGCACTCCTGGCGAGGAAGGGCCCCCCCCCCCATCGTATGCCCCCGATCTGGAACCAGCAATCTTGGTCCAGTCGAACAAGAACTCTCAGTCCAGTCGAAAACCCCACCAACGTTGGGGACTGGGGTCACCATACCCGCCCGTTGTAGGTTGACTCTGCAGCAACCGAAATTCGTGACATGCTGTGTGCGTCTCGAGTCCAGGCGCGGCTTAACAAACAGCCGTTACATGTCAGCTGCAAGCACGAGCCTGCGTCGAGCTAGGGGGAAATGCTGCGAGGGAGGAAGCCTTCTCGGAAGGCGGCGGGGCTTCTGAGAGGTTTTCGGTGTCTTCGGGGAAGGCTCAGAACACTTCTCCCCTCCGAGCCTTCTGTCAAGGCCCGCTCTATCTCACTTCCCCCCGGGCTCGCCGCTACACGAGTGCCGGAGGGACCGTGCCAGGCCCCCTCCTCTTCCCGCTGGGCCGCCCCGCCTGGAGCCCCACGCGGCGCGGCAGGTGTGCGCTCGCGCCGCCTGCCGAGGCCCGGAGGCCGCAGCCGGCGGGAGGGAGCGAAGGAGGACGTGCCCCTCTCCTCCCCTCGGAGGCGGGGGAGAGGCACGAGGGAGGTGTGCCAGGCCTCCCAGATGGGGTCGGAGCAGCTCGCGTCGGAGGGTCGCGCCGCCTCGCCGATGCATCGCCGATGCAGCTCGATGTGGGGCCCGATTTGCTTCACGTCGACGTCGCCGATGCATCGCCGACATCGACCATGCGTCGCCGGTGCATCGCCGATGCATCGCCGATGCATCGCCGATGTATCGCCGATGCGGTGCGACCTTCCGACCCCATCTAGGAGGCCTCTAGCTATGGGTTTGTCCTAAAGGTGTCAAACGTGGCATCCACCGAACAACAGCTCGGCCTCGGAGTCCTGATCTTCGTCACCGTCCGCGCCGCGAATGGCACTACTACGGCCCATCCCGCGGACAGCCTCGAGCTCCCCCCCCCCAGGCCGACCGAACGCCCGAAGCACCTCCGCCCGCCGCCCGACGTTCGTCCTTCCCCGGGTGCCAGGCGGGCGCGCCTCCGCGGGCGCTGCTGCTGAGGAGGAGGAGGCGGAGGAGGAGGCGGAGGAGGAGGAGGAGGAGGAAGAGAAGGAAGAGGAGGAAGAGGAGGAGGAGGAGGAGGAAGAGAAAGAGAGAGGTCAGGGAGGATGATGGCAGCGAGAAGGGCGGAATGAGGGAGATAAGGCGGGAGAATGACGAGGCGGAGGAGGAGGAGGAGGAGAAGGAGGAGGATGTACGTCAAGGGAGGAGAAAAGGATGGATGGACGGGCGTGGCGGAAAGGACAAGAAGGAGGGAAAGGACGGAGGATGAAGGAGAGCAGAAGGGAGGAGGAGCAGGGGCGATGTAGGGAGCGCGGAAAGATGAAGAGAGCAGTAGGAAGAGGAGGAGGAGGAGGAGGAGGAGGAGTAGGAGGAATAGCAAGAGTAAACAGATGGGGAGGGAAAGAAGGATGAGCAGGAACATGGTTTACGCAGGAGCAGGATGATGACGGAGCAGCAGGAGGGTGGAGGTGGATGAGGACGGAAGGAGGATGAATGGAGCAAGGCGCATGGTGAGGCAAAATCGGATGAAGGGGGGAGAGAGAGAGATAGAGATGTAGAATGAGGAGAGATGGATAATCAGAGAGGAGGCACGGTGGATAAGACCCAGGAGACACCCTTTTCTACCCCCCCGTCCGATCCGAGCTTCGGTCGGAGAACAGAAGACACCAAAAGACGTCAAAGCTCGGGCCAGAAGGGCGGCCGGAAGATAAAGAGGCCCCGCGACCCGTGCCCGTCAGCTCCACAAGCGGTACCACGAGTCCACCGGCATCGTCTTCTCGTCCTTGTACCCGGCCGGGCGCAGGGGGAGTGCGGGGGGCACGGGCTGTGAGGGCCGGCAAGGATAAGGAGGAGGGGGGAAGGCGGAGACGGAGGAGGAGGAGGAGGGAGGAGGAGGAGGAGGAGGAGGAGCAGGAGGAGGAGGAGGAGGGATGAGGATGAGTAGCGAGGAGGAGTAGGCAGGACGGGGAGAAGGGAGGGAGATGATAAGCTCATCATTCCTCCGTTTTCCTTACACTTCTCCTCCTCCCGTCTCTCTCAATCGTCGCCTCTCCCCGCCCTCCTTCTGTCCCTCGCTCTTCATTTTGTTTGATTATTTCTTTCTTTCTTTCTTTCTCTCTCTCTCTCTCTCTCTGCGCCAGAGTGGGGGTCAGTGCATCGGTTGCAAACCTCCACAAGATGTCCTATCCGAGGGGTCTGCCCTTATAGATCTGAGTGCCATGCCGATACAGTCGCTCGGGGAAGGATTCACACTCCAGGATTTGGAAAGGCTGAGACACTCGGACCAGATTTCTGGTAGGGGATATACCATCTGCTTCGGCCAGCAAGGCGAAGTCAAGAAAAGGGCGATGAACTCGACGAAGTCAAAAGCTGTTCAAGACGAGTGAGACGAGGTCGATGAAGCCAGTGTACCAGCTCGGCGAGGGCAAGGACAGGTTCGGGCGCAGCGGCCGACGGCTCATCGAGATAGCATGGCTCTCTGAATATTCGAAGTAGGAGGACTGGAACGGGCATGAGGAGGGAGGAGGAGCGTCGTCGTCCTCAACCCTCGCCCCTCCTATCATCTCCTTGCTCCCTGCTCCCCCATCTCTTCCTGCACGCTGGGGAGGGATGCATCACCGACACGGGCCTTTTCCGGGAGCACTACCCCGCCTTCAGAGTCTTCTGGCCGCTGCTCATGAAGAAGGTGGTCAAGTCTTACGTGAGCAACGAGGAGGCTCTCCGTCTGCAGCCTGCCCCCCTTGGCCTGGGCCGGCACGTCCTCCTTGCCTGCCCGCCCCCCTGCCCGGTTCCACCAGCCCAGGCTTTTCCCGTGCGTTCGTTGCCGATCGCTCGCCGCCCGTCGCTCTTCACTTCTCGGCACAGCGACCACTGTCCAGTAGCTGTCCTTTGGAGGTCCGCTCCGCATGCGCGCCCCTGTCTTCCATACCTCCGCGATCGGTGCACGGTTCTGCTTTTTTTGGATAAGCCCTCAATTGTGCAGCCCGTGTAGGTGCAGGATCATGCTCTGCCCTCGGTCTTCCCTTGAGCTGGTCGGACACAGAAATGATCGGCGCTTCGCGTATCCCCATCATCGGCTGTGCGCCCATGGGGAAAGCCTTCTCAGATGGCTCAGAAGACCTCCAGGCTTCCGAGAAGATTTCTGCGCCCTGTCATTCAAAAGGGAGGAAATTCACAGACAAAGAGTCGTCGATTTCACCGAATATATATATATATATATATATATATATATATATATATATATATACATACATATAACGGCGCACCTGGTCTGGGGGCCCGGGGCCGGGACCTCGACCGCAAATGTGCACCCCGGGGGCCCCGGAGGCTCGTCGGGGCTTGCCGGAGGCCTCCCCGGTCAGACAAGACGGCCCCAGAAACGCCCAAGACGGCCCAAGAAACTTCCAAGAGGCCTCCAAGAGGGCTCCGAGATGCTGAAGATGGCCTCCAGACGTCCAAGGACGCCCCCCAAGACGCCCCAAGAAGCCTCCAACATGCGTCCCAAGAGGGCCCCTAGACGCAAAAATTGGCCCATTCCCTTCGTAAAACGTACATTTTTCACAAAGTTGCCTTTTGGGCTTTCCGACATTACAGGACGGCCCAAGAGGCGCCCAAGACCGCCCCAAGACGGCCCAAGAAGCTCCCAAGAGTGCCCCAGGACAGCCCAAGAGGGCCCCAAAACGGCCCAAGAGGCGCCCAAGATGGCCCAAGAGGGCCCCAAGACGGGCCCAAGAGGGGGCCCAGAGGGGGACCACGAACCGCAAGCTCGAGCCTTCCGCCCCAAGAGGCCGCCAGGAGGCCCCCAGGAGGCCCCTCAAGAGGCCCCAGGAGACCCCAGACGTCCAAGGACGCCCCCAAGAGGCCCCAAGAAGCCTCCAACATGCGTCCCAAGAGGGCCCCTAGACGCAAGAATTGGCCCATTCCCTTCGTAAAACGTACATTTTTAACAAAGTCGCCTTTTGGGCTTTCCGACGTTACAGGACGGCCCAAGAGGCGCCCAAGACCGCCCCAAGACGGCCCAAGAAGTTTCCCAGAGGGCCCCAGGACAGCCCAAGAGGGCCCCAAGACGGCCCAAGAGGCGCCCAAGATGGCCCAAGAGGGCCCCAAGACGGGCCCAAGAGGGGGCCCAGAGGGGGACCACGAACCGCAAGCTCGAGCCTTCCGCCCCAAGAGGCCGCCAGGAGGCCCCCAGGAGGCCCCTCAAGAGGCCCCAGGAGACCCCAGACGTCCAAGGACGCCCCCAAGAGGCCCCAAGAAGCCTCCAACATGCGTCCCAAGAGGGCCCCTAGATGCAAAAATTTGCCCATTCCCTTCGTAAAACGTACATTTTCAACAAAGTTGTCTTTTGGGCTTTCCGACGTTACAGGACGGCCCAAGAGGCGCCCAAGACCGCCCCAAGACGGCCCAAGAAGCTTCCAAGAGGGCCCCAGGACAGCCCAAGAGGGCCCCAAGACGGCCCAAGAGGCGCCCAAGATGGCCCAAGAGGGCCCCAAGACGGGCCCAAGAGGGGGCCCAGAGGGGGACCACGAACCGCAAGCTCGAGCCTTCCGCCCCAAGAGGCCGCCAGGAGGCCCCCAGGAGGCCCCTCAAGAGGCCCCAGGAGACCCCAGACGTCCAAGGACGCCCCCAAGACGCCCCAAGAAGCCTCCAACATGCGTCCCAAGAGGGCCCCCAGACGCAAAAGTTGGCCCATTCCCTTTGTAAAACGTACATGTTCAACAAAGTTGTCTTTTGGGCTTTCCGACGTTACAGGACGGCCCAAGAGGCGCCCAAGACCGCCCCAAGACGGCCCAAGAAGCTTCCAAGAGGGCCCCAGGACAGCCCAAGAGGGCCCCAAGACGGCCCAAGAGGCGCCCAAGATGGCCCAAGAGGGCCCCAAGACGGGCCCAAGAGGGGGCCCAGAGGGGGACCACGAACCGCAAGCTCGAGCCTTCCGCCCCAAGAGGCCGCCAGGAGGCCCCCAGGAGGCCCCTCAAGAGGCCCCAGGAGACCCCAGACGTCCAAGGACGCCCCCACGACGCTTCGCGTCACCAATTTCTTCTCACAACGATTCCTGGGTCTGTGACTCGACAGAACCTAAGCGCGCGCGAAGCGCGCGCGTGGTTCTAGTATATATATATATATATAGGAAAATATGGGAAGTGGAATGGAAGACGATATTCCAAATAATATGGAATCATACAAAGAATCCTGCGATGTGTGTCCCCCCTCTGGTGCGCCGCCGGGATCAGCCAATCCAGAACCAGTTCCTTGACGAGCTGCCCAGGCCAGGGGATGTGGGAGCATCCGGCCGCAAAGAGGGGGAGAGCCGCCCTATCGCTCCCAGTCTCTCCGCCGTATAAGTGTCTGCCTCGATCGGATGTTCCGTAGATTCCCCTCGGCGGATCCAGGCCATCTGCGAGCAGTTACGTTGCGAGTATTATGATGTTCCAACTTGCTTTAGCAACGACCAGCAGAAAGAATTTCGAGCATCAAGAAAGTACCGAAACTGGAGTGTTTTCACATGTCGGGCCCTGAGAGGCGACACTCGTTCGACATTGTTTCGATACTTTTCTGGTCGCTCGAAATGATTTCTGGGATGTGGTCCTTAAGTACGATGGGAACAACCGAATCCTAGTAGTGGAGCGCGCTTGTCTGACTCAGGATCCGACCGCTCCGCGCGATCGCCGGCGCCGCGACAAAACAGCATGTTTCGTGACAGCGAGAGGGCGCGAACTAAGCAAGAGTCGACAATGAAGGCGTTCGCGAATTGTCTTGTGGGAATTGTTCAAGCGTCGCGTATCCACACCAGTTCTGTGCGACTCCCGCCTCTGGTGCGGGCGTGGCTCGCCCATGTGGCCGGGGTGTGGCTCCTGGTACCTGTTCCGGTCACGGCTGGATGCAGCCCGGCGTGCCACCCCGCCCCGCACCACCTGGGGCCGGACCAGGGGAGAGTGCGGCACCGACAAGTGGTACATCCTTTGCTCGACTGCTGACGGACTCCCATCTGGTCCGCCCCTCCGACCGACGCTCGCCGCTTTGTCCCCCCGTCCATCGTGATGGATAAGCTGCCCGCGTTGTTCGCCGATGACTTGGTCCGCCGCTCTCGGTGGGTGCCACCCTCGAGCTGGACTGCACAAGTGGTTCATCCTTTGGCAACGTTCCAGACCTCCTGCTGGGTGGTCCAGGGTGCTCGGCCATGCCTGCTCGGCCATGCCTGCTATCGTTCTCCCCCGACCCTCGGGGTCCAGCAGTCGCAGGTCTTCTGACTCCATGATTGGGTTGGTCCGTGCATAAGGCGATCGCTTTGCCCGACCACGTTCAGGAGTCATGTGAGTGAGGCATTCCTCGGTTCTCCCTCTTCTGCCCTTGCGTTCTCTCGCGCCGGCCGCCTTTCCTTGCTCGCTCGCCTCGTCGTGTTTATCGGAGCGGCCTCTCGGGCCCCCCCGTGCTGCCACAGCGCAGCGTGCCGCACGCCAGTACGCGCCGGTCAACACCGTTCGTTTTGGCGCCATTGTGCGACTTCTCAGCTGTCTAGCTCCGTCTGGTGCCTGCGCCCCTGCTCCTGGGTCGTTCGCATTTTAATGGGGGGCATTTTGCCTCTTGCACGTGCATGTGCGTCGTCGTCCTACGTGCCGTCGTCGCCAATTATCTCGCCCTGCACCCCAGCCGAGCCCGTCCCGCTTCCTGGAGCTGTCTTTGGAGCCGTCAATCAAAAAAGTATCCACACCAGCCCTGTTGCCCCTGTCTCAGCCGACCCCGCGTACGGCGGTGGTACCTCGCGCTGAGTGGTTCAGCCTTCAGCGTGTCGCTTCGGTCCTACCTGTCCGCTTCGGCTAGGTTGGCTGCGCGGCCTGGCGCCGACATGGCGACTTCCGTTGCATAGCACTGCGGTCTGCTTCACCTTGGTGTGGTTGGCGCATAGGTGCGTTCGCCTCAATGCGGAGCATTTTGCTCAATGCATGTGCACACCTCGCATTCTTTGCGAATTTGTACTGCAGGTGCGTTGCCTGTTGTAGCTAACTAGCCTCGCCTGCTGGCCCGGACGACGCCTTCCGCTCCCCGTCCGCCGCCTCGGAGCCGCCGACCAAAAAGTATCCACACCAGCGCATTCACAAACCCTGCCCATGAGAGTTGACAAACGCAGGGGCGACGAGAAACAGATAATGAAACAGGGCGGGCAACCGGGGTGAACAACCGACGAGAACCTTGCGAGCAAGGGGGTGGCTTTGGAATTCCTCTTCGGGCCAGCCCTGAGGCCTGCGTGGGGGCGAAGGAGGAGGAGGAGGAGGAGGAGGAGGAGGAGGAGGAGGAGGAGGAGGAGGAGGAGGAGGAGGAAAACATTGACGACCACGACGGCGACGACGAAGAGGAGGTGAAGGAACAGGAAAACGAGTAAGGCAAAGACGAGGACGAGGAGATGGAGGAGGAGGAGGAGGAGGACAACGAGGATGAGGACAGAGCTGCAAAATCGCTCTTGAGACTCTTTCGGGGGATCTTGGGGTCCTCCTGGGGCGTTTTTCGGTGTCTTGGGGCTCGCTTTGGGCCCTGTTGGAGCTCTCTTGGGGGTCCTTTGGGAGCCCTGGTAGGCCTCTTGGGGCCACCTTGGAGGCCATCGATCAGAAGGGGGGAGGGAGGGGAGAGGGGAGCAAGTTGCCATCCCTGGGACGGATTTTCGGTTCGTGTTCCCTCTCTTGGGCCCGTTGTGGGGCCGTCTTGGGTGCCTGTTGGGCCGCC